CCAACTACTTCTAAAAAATAATTTTTTTAATATTTTATTTTTTAGTTTTAGGTGGACACAATATCTTTTATTGTGCTGAGAATCGAACCCAGTGCCTCATGCATGCCAGGTGAGCACACTACCACTTGAGCCACATCTCCAACCCTAAAAAAATAAATTAAAAAAATAATAAAAACTTAAGCATGCCCTCTGCCCAGCAATCCCATTGCCCTAGAAGCCATGCATACTCAGCAGAAATTCAGTACAAGAATATTAATGTCAATTAGTTGGGTGGTGATGCACACCTGTAATTCCAGCAATCCAGGAGGATGAGGCAGGAGGGTTGCAGGCTTTGGGCCAACAACTTAGCAAGACCCTGTCTCACAATAAAATTTCAAAAAGGTTGGGATGTAGCTCAGTGGTAGAGTGCCCCTGGGTTCACTCCCCAGTACTGAAAAAAAAAAGTACCATCAATTTTATTTATTATGACCAAAAATCAAGAGTCGGTCAACCATTGTATTAGCAAACAAATTATGGTATATTCAATTCACACAATAGGATACTATAAAGCAATGAAAAATAACAAACTACCATTACTCACAAAGTTAATAAATTTGAGAGACATAAAAGTGAATTAAAAAAAGCCACCAGGGGGCTAGGGACGTGGCTCAACTGGTAGCGCGCTCGCCTAGCGTGCGTGCGGCCCGGGTTCGATCCTCAGCACCACATACCAACAAAGATGTTGTGTCCGCCGAGAACTAAAAAAAAATAAATATTAAAAATACAATTCTCTCTCTCTCTCTCTCTCTCTCTCTCTCTCTCTCTTAAAAAAAAAAAGCCACCAGGCACAGTGGTGCATGTCTGTAATCCCAGTTACATGAGAGATTGAAGCAGGAGGATCATGTGTTCAAAACCAGGCTTAGCAACTAAACAAGGTCCTAAGCAAATTAGTGAGACCCTGTGCCACAATAAGAAACAGGCTGGGGATGTGGCTCATTGGCTAAATGCCCATAGGATCCATACATTACTAATATAAAAATAAATAAATAAAAAACTTTACACTGATTCCATTTATATAAGGAAAAAAATTAAAAAGCCAAAAGTGATGTTTGCTGGTAGCAATAGTCAGAGTTTACTTTTGAGAGGATGTGAGGTCAGAGGGTGCTTGAGGCTTCTGTAGAGTGGCAGCCTTCCACCTGGATCCAAGCACAGATGGCCTGGGTGTGTATATGATGGGAAAATGTTTATTTAGGACTTTGACTTTCATGTGTGTTACACTTTGAAAGTTTACAAATAGACATTAACATTTGCTGTGATCCAGTGATCCAAATTCTAGGAATCTGTCCTTCAATTTGTTAGGGATAAGTCCAGCTTTATGTGCAGAGACATTCCAGATAACTGGCTGAAATATGCTTTCACTCTTAGGTACGAGTGAGCCCAAGGCAGGAAGTCCAAGCTCCTTTCTTCTCACAATGGTACATAAGCAGGAAGAAGCAGAGACATCAAATGGATCACCCTCCCTTCAAAGACCTTTATCCCAAGTCCTGGATTTAATTTCAAAGGAGGCTGGTGAGAACAGTGTTTTAGCTGAGCTGTTTCCATCAATCCAGGATTGTGTTAGGTGAAAGGATAGGAGGTGTGTCTGTGAGAGGAAGCAGGCTGGACCTCCATCTCATACACACCCTAACCTGGAGACACCGCTGTATGGAGGTCATTCCAATGGCACAAGAAGGGGCTGGAGATAGCTCTCTGCTTCCTTCAACTGCATGTACCTGGAGAAGGGCAACCTGGCTCTTCATCCTGCCTTAGGCTCTTCTCCTGGAGGGTCAGGGCTTCTAGTTGCAGCCTGCACCAGTAAGCTGCAGCCATCCACCACTCAGTGGTAAGTATCCCTTTCCTCAGCTCACTCACTTTGGTACCTGGCTCCAAATCCCCTTTCAGCCCACAGGCCAGTGATCATGCCACCTTTCACTGTGCCCTCTTGTCCTTCCCTTTCCAAGTTTAAGTCTCTCAGACAAGGCTTACAGTCTCTCTCTTGCATATACCCTTGACTCCACTGATCCTCTCTCCCTGATCCTCTCTCCCTTTATCACACTTCCTGGGAAAACCCCACTAGGGAGCCAGGCATGGTGGTGCACACCTGTAATCCCAGTTACTCAGGAGGCTGAAGCAGGACGATTCCACATTCAAGGCCAGCCTGGGCCACTCAGTGAGACCCTCAGCAATTTAGAGACCTTGCTCAAAACAAATAAGCTGAAAGCTGAGTGGAATGGTGCATGACTGTAATTCCAGCGGCTCAAGTGGCTGTGGCAGGAGAATCACAAGTTCAAATCCAGCCTCTGCAACTTAACAAGGCCCTAAGCAACTTAGTGAGACCCTGTCTCAAAATAAAAATTTAAGAGCTGGGTGTGATGGTACATGCTTGTAATCCCAGCAGCTCAGGAGGCTGAGACAGGAGAATAGTGAGTTCAAAGCCAGCCTCAGCAGTGATGAGATGTTAGGCAACTCAGTGAGACCCTGTCTCTAAATTAAATAAGTAAATAAATAAATAAATAAATAAGGCTGGGGATGTGGCTCCGTGATTGAGTGCCCCTGAGTTCAATCCCTGGTACCAAAAAAGAAAAAAAAAAATTAAAAAGGCTGGGGATGTTGCTTAGTGGTTAAATGCTACTGGGTTCAATCCCGATATCAATAAAATAAAAATGACTGGGGGTATAGGTCAGTGTTAGAGAACCCCTGGGTTCACTCCTAGTACCACAATACAAACTCAATAGAGGCAAATCCAATTCTACCTGCCCTGAACCCAAATGTAGGGACTGGAGATATGGTTCAGGAGTACAGTACTTGCCTGGAATGTGGAGCTCCAGCACCAAAAAACAAAAACAATTACAAAAACAAAACACAAAAGAAGCCAAGTGTGGCCTGAAGATAGCACACCCAGCCCTTCCCTGCTGTCTTCCTGTGGCACCCTGATTCTAAATCCCCCAGCCAAGTGCCGAGCCCCTTCCCTAATGCCTTCCTAAGTGGGCCTGTGTTACCCTGGACATCCCACCAGATTTCTCAGTGTAAACACTAAGCAAGGGTCATGGAACACTGGGAGGACACATACAGTGTGGGAGAGTCCTTGGTATCAAGTTAGGTGAGCTGGTGCTCAGCCTGTGATCCCATCAACTCTGGAGGCTGAGGCAGGAGAACTGTCAAATTCCAGGTCAGTCTCAACAATTAATGAAGCCCTCAGGAACTTGGTGAGACTCAGTCTGAAAAAAAGGTTTGGGATGTAGCTCAATGGTAAAGCACCCCTGGGTTCAATTCTCAGTGCTCACACACAAACACAAAAAGTCCATGGTGCTAAAACAAATGACTGGGCAGGGTTCTGAGCTTGGACTGCCATGTCAGGGTCATCCTTCACGGGTGTTAAGAGTGTACAATGCAGCCAGGTGCGGTGGCACATGCCTGTAATCCTAGGGGTTTACAGGCTGAAGCAGGAGAATCACAGGTTCAAAGCCAGCCTCAGTAACTTAGCAAAGCCCTAAGTAATTCAGCAGGACCCTGACCCTAATAAAATACAAAAAGGGACTGGGGATGTGGCTCAGTGGTTAAGTGCCCCTGGGTTCAATACCCTGTACCAAAAAAAACAAACAAACAAACAAAAAACCTTCTTTATATTTAAATTTTTTTCTCTTGTAGTTGTAGATGGATAGCATACCTTTATTTTACTTTTGTATGTGGTGCTAAGGATTGAACCCAGTGCCTCACACATGCTAGGCAAGTGCCCTGTCACTAAGCCACAGCCTCAGCCTGTTTATATATTTATAAACTGAAATGGCTACACTTAGTATGACCATACTCAAAGTGCCCTGAAATAAATAGTACCATCTCCTCCCTGGGGTGATGGGACCTCCAGGCCCACGCAGGCCCATCTCTTAAGGTTCTGGTTTGGGGAAAAGGACTAGGCTGGCTACTTTTTCCCAGTGAGCTGTGCTGGGAGAGGTGGGTGAAGGGGAGGGAGCCTCAAATAACATCTCAAAGACTAGGAAGCTGGCTGGGATCAGGAGTTCCTCACTTGTACACCCAGAGTGCAGAGAGGGAGGGACCATGCCCTAAGTTTATACATATGAACAAGTTGGAGAGGGCAGGGGCTGGGGCTGTGGCTCAAGCGATGTGCTGGGTTCTGTTGGATCCTCAGCGCCACATACAAAAAAGATGTTGTGTCCGCCGAAATCTAAAAAATAAATATTAAAATTCTCAAAAAAAAATAATAAAATAAATAAAATAAAGATGCTGTGTCCCCCGAAAACTAAAAAATAAATATTAAAAAATTCTCTCTAAAAAAAAAAAAGATGGAGAGGGCAGGGAAAGGGTGGGTAAGGCCTTCTGCAGGGAGCCTGAGAGCAAAGGCCGGGAAGTGGTCAGAGTGAGGGAAATCCCAAGGAAGCGCCTGGTGTCCCTGGATTGGGGTGCAGGCCTATTAGAAGGGGCGTGCTGGGGAGGGCCAAAGTGGCCAAGGCCTACATCCCGCGGGTCCCCACCTTTTCTCAGCCTGCTTCACTCCATCCACCCCCAACTTAAGGACAGAAGGGGACGGTGGGGCTTAGGTCACTCTATTCTGGAGCTGAGGGCGGCCTGGGCGCTCCACAGAAAAGGGTGGCCTCAGTCCCGCTCCCTGCCCCTGGAGAGCTTACGGCGCTAGCGAGCGCTTCCCCAGCATCCCAAAAGCCGTACGCGACGTACAGTGCCGAGCTGGCTAGCAGCTAAAATACCGGCTTGCTTGCGGATGCCGCCGCAAAAGAGCCACTGCGCGTGCGCAGACTGCTCGCCGGAAGTCCCGCGGGACCACGAGAACCAGAATGCCCTGTGCCCGCGGCGCGCGGTGCTTGCCGGGATCTGCAGTCCAAAGGTGGGATGGGCGGGCCGCCGCGGTGCACGCCGGGGCCGGTAGTCAGCGGCTCAGGGCCGCCTCTCACCTGGCGGGCGTCTGGCGTCCGGCGTCCGCGGGGCCTATGGGAGCGGCTGCYCGTCGCCCCGCCCCGCCCGCCCTACGTCTGTGCCGGGACATGGCGGCTGCTGGTGCCGGGTCCTTGAGCTGAGCGCCCGCTGACAGCTGCCAACTGTTCCCGTCGGCTGTCCGAGCGGGCCGGGCCCAGGCGCTGCCGGGACGGTGAGGAGCTGCGGCCGTCGAGGAGGAGGAAGTGGCTGCCGCAGGAGGCCGTCTCGGCCTGCACATGGCGTCCATCTTGCTGAGAAGCTGTCGCGGCCGGGGCCCTGCTCTCCTCCCGCCGCCCCGCGCCGCAGCCCCGCGGGGTAAGCACCCGGGCCGGGCCGAGGCGCGGGATCTCGGGGGCTCTGCTTGGGTCCGGGTGCCGCGTGCGCGGGGCTGGCCGCGCGGGCGCCTCCCCGCCGCGTGCGGCCCACGGGGCGCCTGGCGACGTTCTGACCTTAGTCGCCCGGGTCGCTCCAGGTCACTGTCCCCGAGGGGGCGTGGAAAAGTGTCCGTGCCCCCTCCGCGGGGAAGCGCGGCGTCCACTCTCGAGGACGGGCGTGCCCTGTGGCCACGCTCTGGTCGCGGAGTCAGGAGCCCGCAGGCCCGGGCACCACCCGCCCGCCCGCCATTGCCCGGGTGGGGCGCGGGCTGGCTGCGGGCGGCGGCCGGTGCTCCGGCTCTTCAGCGGCCTTCCGCGTTTGTGTCCTGTTTGTAAGGTTGCCATAAAAGTAAAAGTCACCCAGTGAGGGTGAGACACCCGGGAAAATGCAGTTCTGGACGTTTTATGGATTACAAGTGCACCAGGACAGGCACGGTTCTTGTCATTTTTAGCAACGAGGGCGGGTGGGGAGGACCGCAGGAGCTGCCCAGTTCCCGCCGCCTCTGCTGTCAGAGTTGTCTGTACCTGTTGATGTGTTCAGGATGCTGATGAAGTACTTCTGCCTCTTCGCATTTCTATAGCATGTTTATGGCTTAAAAGTTAGATGATTTCTTTCTCTTTTTTTCTTTTTCGTTTTGTTGTGCTTTTATTCCAGAACAGAATATTTTTGTTTTGGAATAAATATATAGTTATTGTTCTTTATTTATTAAGAACATGTTCTTTAGTATTGTACACTGTAGGCAGATGGTTCGCTGCAGAACCAATAAGGGAATTCAGAGCCAATGGGACTCCGGGCTGGGCTGTGGGAATCCTGTTCCTGAATGCCCTGAAGTGACATTCCCCTGGAAGGCCATTATTAAGACCCCTGGTTAGTGTGGTTCACTGTCACAACTAATGAGCTAAGGCCAATACTATATTAAGATTATTTTTATTCTTTTCCATGCTTTATTCAGCACATACTTTTATGTACTTTTTCTTTATTCTGTACATATTTTATCCTGATATTCTCTCTGCTCCTGGACCCATTCAGGACACATTCATTTAGGGCTCTTTAGATTGTGACACTTTCTTAGGCATCCCTTGTTTTCCATGACCTTGATAGTTTGTTTGTTTTTTTTAAGTTGTAGATGGACACAGTACCTTTATTTTGATTATTTATTTTTATGTGGTGCTGAGGGTCGAACTCAGGGCCTCATATGTGCTAGGCAAGTGCTCCACCACTGAGCCACAACCCCAGCCCATCTTGATAGTTTTGAGGAGTACTGGTTAGATATATTGTAGAATGCTTCTCTCATCAATTTTTAAAAAATGTTTTTCCCATACTTAAACTGAGGATAATGGGTTTGAAGGAATAGGGCACAGAGATGAAGTGATTCTCATCACATCCTATCTAGCCTCTGTACTGTCAAGATGATTTATCATTGTTCATTATCACTGTTGATATTGACCTTCATCTCCAGGCCAAGGTGAGCTTGTCTGGTACTCTCCTTCCCCTTTCCATGCTTTCTTTGGGAGAAAGTTGCTGTGTTTGAAGTCCATCTGAAGAATTAGTGGGAGAGAAGTATCCAGTCCCAAGGCCCCACAGTGCTGTTGTTTAAACCCAGGAGGACAATGGAGGAGCAGGCTGAGGGTCAGGAGGAGTTCTTGGTGCTCTTCAAAGTGCAGGTCCCAGGAGACCCTGGGAAACCTCTGAAGAGGAGGAGGTCAGGATCCTGACATGGGAGCTTATTCTTCTGGAGGCCAGGAGAAGTAAAGTGTGGTATAGTAAAAATATATATTTGGTGTCTGTGCCTGATCTTGGTTACTGAACTCCTAAAGCTCTTGGAGTGACAGAATTTTCTGGGTGTGACTGTAGTGGCTTTGTTATTCACAAGTCCCTTCTTGGATCAAAGTATAAAGTGCAGGTGGGGCTGGCCAGGCTGAGATTGGAGAGTTGGAATTTTAGCCTCAATCTCCAGGGAAGGGAAGGATATGAGATTGGGTTTGTAGTGTAGTCCAGTTGTGCCTGTGTAATGAGGCTGTGAAGGAGCCTGATGTGCTTAGGAACCTCTATGCCTCTTCCTCTAGCTGCTCATTTGTGATGCACTGTGACAGTGACGGAAGCACTTAGCTAGGTTCTGTGCAAATTACCAAAACTGAGGGAGCTGTGGGACCCACATTTGTAGTGGGCAAAAGTGTAGGCAGCCTGGACACCCTTGCTGAGGGTCATGGGCTCCTGAGCCCTCACATCCTGGGTGACCTTTCCCCCAGGGGTCTCTGTGGAGAGTTGGAATAGCCCTCAGAGTGGGTTTGGGTAGGGCGGGGGAAGTGGGACTGAAACTGTTAAAGCAGCATTGCCTAGGCTATCAGCTTGGGGCTAGGTAGGTGGGAAATTCTGAGTCAAATCCTGGTGGGACGGGAGTGGCCAGGCAGGGAGGAAGTGCAGCACCTTAAGAAGGGGCTGTGAAGAAGTGCTCATGACCCTGTACTTTTACATTTAACTTGTAGGGCTTGATGCATGTAAGAATGTAGCTAATATCTTTTACATTATGAATTGTGCTGACTAAACACTTGTGAGCCCAGCTCCAACTTACTAGGCAAGTACTCTACCATTGAACAACATCCCCAGCTCCCAACTTACTAACCAAACTGTCCCCAGTCTGGTTAAGGTCCTAAATGTGACATTTGGTGGTATTAGATACCCTTCCCATAGAAGTATGAGTTTTGCCTCCTGGTAATGACATAAAATGACAAGTGGATGTCCTTACTGCCACTCCCACTGCCTGGAGGATTGGGCCAGATGGCATTTCACAGTGCCACCCTTCAGTCTTATTGGCTTCTTGCCTACCTAGCCTCTGCACAGGCTGAGCTGGCCCTTCTGGGGTTGTTGCCCCTGGATCCACTGCACCCACAACTGTCTTGTCCCCTGCATGCAGTTTGATGGCACCACCCTCATGGTGCTGTTAGTGACCTCTGACATGCTTATGAGTACTAGAGTGAGGTAGGGAAAGCATCAGAACATGTCTGAACCCCAAAAACGACCTGTATGCTTGCTCATCACAGCTGTTATCCAAGAAACGGCTTCCTTTTGGTGTTGGTTTTTCCTATAATCTTCAGCCCTTGTCACCTTGGGGTTGTTGCTTGATCTGTAGGGCTGCGTGTGCATTGGGGGTCATGTACACCTTGGCCCCTGACCATCAAAGCCAGCCAAGGCTAGTAGGGAGGAGTTCCCAACAGGCAGGAACTATAGGTCCTAAGCCGGGGACTCAGTGGTCTTTCTCTAGGGCTTGGCCTGCTTGGCTTTCTCCTCAGGGCTGCCCTAAGACCCTGTTTCCTAACTGGAGAGACTTTTCACTTAGCTATGCTTGGAAGCCAGGCTTCCAGAAACTTAATGGGTTTCTACTCTCAGACTTTCACAGATGCCTGGTTGGGACCTGTTCACTTACTTCTTCCTTATTTTTGTCATAGGTAGTCTGGGGCACCGGCATCGTGCTTGTCTCAGTTGTGCCAGCACCGTGGGGCTGATAAGCCGCCTGTAAGTACACTCATCACTTTGTACCTGTCTGCTTGAGAATGCTGAGTGTGGTGGGTAACTCCTGCGTTGTCAGGGAAAGAGCAGATCCTATTTTCTTTTGTTTTTGTTTCTTTTAGATCCTTTATTTATTTATTTTTTTTAGCAGAATGCATTACAATTTATATTACATATATAGAGCACAGTTTTTCATATCTCTGGTTGTATACAAAATAACAATAACCTTTGTTTTTTAATTTTTATTTATTTTTTAAGAGAGAGAATTTTTTAATATTTATTTTTTAGTTTTCGGCGGACACAACAGCTTTGTTTGTATGTGGTGCTGAGGATCGAACCCGGGTCGCATGCATGCCAGGCGAGCGCCCCACCGCTTGAGCCACATCCCCAGCCCCAAACCTTTATTTTTATGTGGTGCCTCACACATGCTAGGCAAGTGCTCTACCACTGAGCCACACCTGCAGCCCTCCCAGCCCTTTTTCTTATGAGCTGCTTTAGCACAGTCACACCTACGGTCTGCACACAGCCCTGGTGATCTGGTGTGGTAGTCTTTCTGTGCTCCACACAGCTTCCCATGTCATCATGCCCTATGCTGTTTGGCAGTATCAGTTGGGGTGTTGGGATCTTCTGTGGGCGCAGAGCAGACCCTCCCTGAACACAGTCCTTCAGGAGCATCCTGACTTGGGAATGACCCCAGCAGGCCCTGCACCTGGCTCTGGGGATGTACCTCAGGCATGGTGGACTTAGCCTTTCCCTGTGGCACCCACAGTTTAGTGATATGACAAACAATAGTGGATAGGTGGTCACAGTGTCTAAGATAAGGTTGTGATGCCGCTGCCAGACCAGTGGGCCAGTCCAGAAGAGCTTCCTAGAGGAAGTGGCAACCACATTCCCTTGTTTTGTACATGGGCTTACCCCAGGTGGCTGTTTGCCCTGCATGTCCTCTCTGCTGGCATCTGCCTCCGCCTGGTCTTACCTGTGTTAGGGAGACCTTCTCTTCCTCCTAGGCTCTCAGTTTAAGACATCACAGTGGTGCTCATCTGTTTTCCCTTCAACAACCCAGCTGCTTCTTGCTTCCTGTGGGAGAGAGCAGGACACCAGTGCCACTAGATACTCCTTATAGCTGTGGAGTTTGCAGGGGTTTTTGTTAATTTGATATTATTAATTTTATGGGGTGGGGTGCTCAGGATTAAACCTAGGGGTGCTCTATTATTGAGCCACATCCCGAACCCCTTTTTTTAAAAAAAATTTTATTTATTCATTTATTTTTGTGGTGCTAGGGATTGAACCCAGGGCTTTGTGCATGTGAGGCAAGCACTCTACCAACTGAATTATATCCCCAGCCCCCTTTTTTAAAATTTTGAGACAGGATCTTGCTAAGTTGCTGAGGCTAGCCATGAACTTGAGATTCTCCTGCCTCAGCCTCCTGAGTCACTGGGATTATAGATATGTACCACTGTACCCAGTGACAGATTTAATTCTTTTTTTTATTTTTTTTATTTATTTATTTTTTTTAAAGAAAGAGTGAGAGAGGAGAGAGAATTTTTTTTTTAATATTTATTTTTTAGTTCTCGGCGGACACAACATCTTTGTTGGTATGTGGTGCTGAGGATCGAACCCKGGCCGCACGCATGCCAGGCGAGCGCRCTACCGCTTGAGCCACATCCCCAGCCCTCTTTTTTTTTAAATATATATATTTTTTTAGTTTTTGGCGGACACAACATCTTTGTTTGTTTGTGGTGCTGAGGATTGAACCTGGGCCGCATGCATGCCAGGCGAGCGCGCTACCGCTTGAGCCACATCCCCAGCCCCCAGATTTAATTCTTTAAAATAAAAACTATGAGGTATGTGTGAAGGTTTGGTTGTTACTGAAGCACAATTTGATTTCTGTGGCATATGTCAGTGCTGGAATGAGCAACCAGGCCTGTGTGGCGTCTTGGGCTCAGGCAATGTTTCTGTGGCTGAATTGCTGCTGAACATGCAGTGGTTGGTTAGACACAGACAAAACTGGCTAAGAGAATTGCCCGTAGTCTGGTGTGGTGGTGCACACATGTAATCACTGCAGCTTGGGAGAGTGAGGCAGGAAGATGGCAAGTTCAAGGCCAGCTGGTCTCAAGACAGGATTAGACAGGATTCGAGACCCTGTCTAATTAAAAAGGGCTGAGGGTATAGTTCAGGGGTAGAGCATCCCCAGATTCAATCTGTACTGACACACACACACACACACACACACACACACACACCAAAAAAAAAAAAACATGAAAAAGCATGATCTAGTCTGTGCCTTCCACCACCAGTTCAACCCAGCAGATACAGGATTAGTAAAGTTTCACTTTCATAGTCTCAGGACTGTTGACATGGAATCTTCTGATGAATAGCAGCATTAAGGTATGCACACAGAGCAGTTTTATTCCTGCTGAAGTGTGCTTTTCTGAAGCCAACTCTAAGGTCTGTGGGTGGCTGGGAGTGTAGTGGTTACCTAGGGTGCCATGCAGGATGTGACCTTGTAGGGCCTGCTCTTTGGGTTCAGAAGAAGCTGGAGTCTGTGTGTTTCTGGTTTAAAAGTACTGACCCCAGTGCTGACTAGGTGCTTCTCATGGGGACTCATGAATCTGCCCATGTGTGAGATAGAGGTGCACTGATCAGAAATTCAAAGCTTACCCAGGCATCTATTATTGGTCCAGTGTGGTCCATCTGCAGTTCCAATGTCTGCCATTTTTCCTAGTGAGTTTTCTAGTGGATGCTTGTCTAGATACCAGGTTCTCGACCTTCATTTCTAGGCCTTGCTCTGAGTTCTTGAGTGTCCCTTTAGATGAACTTGCCAGCTGTTTCAGTTCTAAAAGAGTCTTTATGGGGGCTGGGATTGTAGCTCAGTGGTAGAGCACTTGCCTCTCCTGTGTGAGGCACTGGGTTCGATCCTCAGCACCACATAAAAATAAATAAAATAAAAAAAATTTWAAAAAAAAGTCTTTATGGGATTGTGACTGAAATATCATTAAACTTATCAAACCATTAGGAATAGTAACTTTTTTTTGGGGGGGGGGTACTGGGGATTGAACTCAGGGGCACTCAATCCCTGAGCCACATCCCTGTATCGTATTTTATTTAGAGACAGGGTCTCACTGAGTTGCTGAGGTTGCTGAGAGTGGCTTTGAACTTGTGATCCTCCTGTCTCATTCTTCCACAGTGCTGGGATTACAAGTGTGTACCACTGCTCCTGGCTTAGGAATAGTAACTTTTATAATATCAGATTGTCTTTGAATAAATGCACACCTATAACCCCAGCTACTCAGGAGGCTGAAGTCACAAGTCCCATTTGGACAACTTAGCCAGACCCTGTCTTGAAATAAAAAAATTAAAAAGTGATGGGGATGTAGCTCAGTGGTTAGGACCCCTGGGTTCAATGGACGACTTTTTTTTTTTAAAACATTTTTTTAAAAATATTTATTTATTTATTTTTTAGTTTTCGGTGGAAATAACATCTTTGTTTGTATGTAGTGCTGAGAATCGAACCCGGGTCGCACGCTTGCCAGGCGAGTGCACTACCGCTTGAGCCACATCCCCAGCCCTGGTCGACTTTTTTTTTTTTTTTTTGGTACTGGGGTTTGAACCAGGTGTTTTTATTTATTTTGAGACAGCGTTTCATTCATGCAAAGCAAGTGGCCTGCCACTGAACTACATGCCCAGTCTCTACTTTGTTTTATTAAGATCTTTCCCTCCTCTTTCAGAAAAAGACATGCCATTCTTTTATATTACCTTTCTTTTTTGTGGGGGGAGGTACCAGGGATTGAACTGAGGAGCATTCGAACCACTGAGCCACATCCCCAGCCCTAGTTTGCATTTTATTTAGAGACATTAGAGACAGGGTCTCACTGAGTTGCCTAACACCTTGCTTTTGCTGAGGCTGGCTTTGAACTTGCAGTCCTCCTGCCTCAGCCTCCCAAGCCATGGGATTATAGTTGTGTGCCGCTGTGCCCAGCTTCTTTTTTATTACCTTTCCAAGTGGTTGCTGCTGGCACTTGTGGGATTGCTGTGTGTGATGTTGTTGAGTCTGGCCGCTTGGCACCACTGTGTTTACTTCCAGTTTGGCTCACATGGCAGCACAGATTCAGGTAGGGTCATGAGCTTGCTGGTAGACAACAGTTTTGCCTCTTCCACCCTAGCCTCCAGTGCAAGTGGTTTCAGTTCTTGCCTGTACATCCAGTTCTGCCTTAGGACGGCTGTAGTCAGTCATGCACCATCATAGCAGCAGAACAGGGGCTAGTGCTCATTGCCTGTAGTGTAGCTTTGGGTTTCAGTATTCTTTGCCATGGCTGTTTATTCAAGTATTTTCATTGGGAAGGGACATTGAATTTGTTAAGTACCTTTTTTAGCACTTAAGGTTCTTTTTAGAAGAGATTTACTTAATGAAAAATGGTAAAGCTGTTTAGATGAACTCATATTTCAAATTAGCACTTCCTGGTGAGCAGTAAAGAGCTTTCATTTTTCAATTTGATTGCACAGAATAAGAAATCTTGAATCACACCCAGAAAAGTCATTGTGAGTGGTAGCCATTGGTATGGTTGTTTGGCAGTTATTTTACAGCCTAAGATAGTCTTTGATTGAAATGGCCCAGGCCCCTGATGGGGAGTAGGCAGAGTACTTTCCATCCAGCACAGCATTGGGACATTCCTGAGCAGCTTTTGACCTTAATTATGGAAGTGAGGGAAGGAAGGCAGCACGCCATCTTTGCACAGGCAGTGGGCAGTCATGCAGCGAGCAACAAGCATCCTGCAATCCAGTAGGGCTTTCCCCATGGTGGGAACACTTGATTTGGGGTGAGGGCCCTTTCTGTCCTGCATTTCCACGTGGCATGAATGCCAGTGAGATGTGCTTGGGAAATAGCACTATGCTGATGGCCAGGTGCATCCAGGCCCCTGGCAAATGTTCCAGTAGTATGTGTCCTTGGCACATAGCAACATTGCTTTCCAGGCTCACAGTCTCAGGCCTCAGGCTGGAGCAAGGCACTGGGCCTCTTGGTTACTTTGTTTGTGTATGTTCTCTAGTCCCCCAGCAGAGGGGAGCCAGTAGTTTCACTTCTTAATGTGGAATTTTTGTAAGCACAGGGCTCAGAGTTGTCCTGCGCTTCTGGAGTCATCCTTCCTGGTGGTGGTGGCTGTTGCTATGTCATTCCTCTTTTCTTTGTTCTTTCTTATTGGGGATTTCTTAGCCCCTGTTAGCATTATGCCCTGAAGAACTGGGCAACATGTCCTGGTTGATGTCCTCCCTGGCTTGACCTTGGTTCATTGCCTCACTTTGTGCCTGTCTGAGGGCAGCCATGGCAGGAGGTTCTGGGAGTGCCTTATGGCAGTCGTCTCCTTGGGAGCAGCCTGTAGGCCTTTGTACTTGTGGCATTTTTACAAATTTTGACAGAAGTCAAGAACACATTGTGACAGGAGAGTAGGTCTGGGACCCCATGCTTACTCCCCCAGTGACTGTGCATCTGACATGGTAGGGCTCAGAGATGCTGCTTCTTTGCAAGGCACTCCTTGGTTTTTCTTTTCTGGAAGCGAAGATAGGGTGTCCTGGTTGTGGTTATTGGCATTTGCATCCTCAGGTAAGCAAACAGCTTCACAGCAGTGCTGGAGTGTGTAGTGTGCCCAAGCAGGCCTCCTACCAGCTGTCTACTGTCTGCTTCTTGTTGAGATGTTGCATTTGCTCAGCAAGGTTCCCCCATTTTACAGGTGATTTATCAAGGAAGAGAAAAGCAGGAGCTCAGTGATAGCGTGGTGAGAAGCTGGGCCTCTTGGACTGGCCTTCCTGGATGGTGCTGTCTCAGCTGCTGGCTAAGTTCTGTGTTGATCAAAAAATGTTTTAATGTGATGTAGCAGTGCACAGTGGTGCATGCCTATAATCCCAGCAGCTCGGGAGGCTAAGACAGGAGGATCCCAAATTTGAAACCGGCCTCAGTAAACCTTCCTGGCTAGATTATTAGTAATAGCTCTCTGAGCTTGAACACAGCCAGGTCTGGGGGTGTCCCAAAACCATATATGCCATGAGCTTCTGTGCTTCGTCTGTTTTAAAATCTCTTCATCTTTGTCTGTTGGCTGCCCCTTTAAAAAACTGCTGACATCTTGCCGCCTTATGGAAGCCTTGTTAATCAAATGTTGGAAAGCTGTATAATTAAGCGTGATGGAGAGAGGAATGACATGTATTCCACATGTAGGCACTGATGCCATCCACACATGACGAGAAACGTGGCCAAGTGGTTCTCTGAGCCTGAGTGGGCTCTGCCACGTTCTCTGTGGCCTGGTCCTCAGCAACACTGTGGCTCAGGATGGTGAATTCAAGGTTTCCAGGTGCTTTGGTGATACAGTGAGGAGAGCCCACACACACTGAGGGAGGTACACACCCTCTGCCCACCACACCAGTGTCATGGTGTGGCCCCTGTCCTCTTTTGTCTCATCACTCCATCTTCAGAAGCTTTCTGTGAGCTCAGTGCTAGGCTTTCAAGTCGGTCGTTGAGGGAAGACGGATCCTGGAGGGCTCCTAGAGAGGTCCACAGCCAGTGCCTGTGCCCAGTGTGTTCCATGCTGGCACTGCAGTGCCCCCGCTGGACCTGCCCTCCACCTGCTTCAAGCTAAAGCAGGTAGGTGCACGCTGGTGGTCCTGCAGGATCCAACCACTAAGCCCAGCAATTCTAGAGGTTCCCATCTTGCATCTACTAGTTTGATGGGATAGTCATTGCTACAGCCATTTCCTATTTGGGGTAACTAGGCACATATTCACATGTATTTCCAAAGGAAGCTCCCAGAGCCTAGAGTTGAAGTTACTTGGTCAGGATCAGACAGAAGTAAGTAGTGGAGCCTGATTTTGAGCCTAGACGGTCATGGCCCTCACTCTGGTGTCTAGTCAGATGTAGAAATGACTAGAGATGGGAAGAAACTAAGACAGTGTGTGTGTGTCATTCATATATATATGAATGACAGCCCTCTGGGGTGGGTTGGAGCCTATGGCCACTCAGGTGGCTCTGTCCTCAAGCCATGGGAGAGGCTTCTAATTTACCAGACAAGATAAGTAGGAGATGATAAACCTGAAAGAGAACTGTACAGGCCAGTTGTCCCACGTTGGATGGCAGATGGCATCACAGCTCCACATGGGGAACAGAGGTGATGTATACAACCTCAGGCTCTGGGGCAGGCCTTGTACTTCCTGAGACCTGAGACTGCAGTGGCCCTCCTGACCTGTCTGATTTGTGTGTGGATGCAGTGGGCAAACCTGTGAGCAGGACTCACTGTTGATAGAAGTCTGAGAAGTTTGGCTAACACTTAACCCTCACCAGCTCTGGCCCCGTGTAACCTGCATTGGGTGGGGAAGGAGCAGGCCTCTCCTCTCAGCTCCCCAGATTTAAGACAGCACTGTGACGAGACAACAGAGGAGGTAAGGCGGGAATATGAGCCAGGCAGGGCACAAGCTGTCGATAGCTAGACAGGGGTGGCCAGTGCTAGAGCCCAGTGAGTAGGGGCCTTAGGCCTGGCTGTCTTTGAGTTTGTGCTTTTGCTCCAGAACCTGTCAATCAAAAGTCACCTGTTAGGGGAGAGGACCTCTAAACTAGACAGACTTCTTAACTCTGTTCCCCAAATCCCAAAGAAGCATATCATACCACTTTAAGTTAATGGTGCCCAGAGGTTGGGTTGAGTCCAGGGGTCACTATGCCACTCTGTGCATGTCTGTCCTGCTGTTGTATCTCTCTGGGGACCTGTGAGCCTAGATACTGGTGGATGTGGAACAGGCCCACCTGGGGACACACATCATTCTGCTATCATGCCCAAGCCCTCCTAAGGGTTCCTGGGGGTCTCAGGTCTCAGGAAGTACATGGGATTTAGTGCATGGTTGTGATTCTCTGTGGTGTGTGCTGCTGGGCAGCCACAGACTGCAGCTGGCTCCTCATTGCCATTTTCCCTTTTTCCTTTTTCAAGGAATATTTCATCTGGCTGCTGCTTTCCAGCCCACCCTGTGTACCTCTGCTTCAGAGATGAGCCCCTCAGTGTTTGGACTTTGAGGCCCAAGCACCCACGCATAGCAGCGAGAGTGCCATGGACCCCCACTTCACCAGGCTTGGTTGTTACGGGACCTCGGTACCTTTCTATGCGAGGCTGGCACTCATCACCCCCTCTTAGTGATGACTCTGTGGTGGAGAAGTCCCTCAAATCCTTAAAGGACAAGAATAAGAAGCTGGAGGAGGGTGGCCCCGTGTACAGCCCACCTGCTGAGGTGATGGTGAAGAAGTCTCTTGGGCAGAAGGTGTTGGATGAGCTGAAGCATTACTACCATGGCTTCCGTTTGCTCTGGATCGATACCAAGATTGCAGCACGCATGCTGTGGCGCATCCTCAACGGCCACACCCTGACCCGCCGGGAGCGCAGGCAGGTAAAGGGGACGCACCAAGCTCTTGGCTTCACCCAGAGATTGCTTTCAAAACCTCGTTGGGACTTGCTTTCTGCTGCTTTGGGTGAGGAAAATATCAGTAAAACCTCTGAAACGGGGCTGGGGTTGTGGCTCAGTGGTAGAGTGCTTGTCTAGCATGTGATGCACTGGGTTCGATTCTTAGTGCCACCAAAAAAATAAATAAATAAATAAAGGTACATTGATAGCTAAATATAAATGTACAAAAGTGGGGACATCCCCATAATACCACCATCGAATTGTGACAGGACCTCAGTACCAGCACCCAGTTCCCTCCCAGTGCCTCCTTTCTGTTCCTTGAAAAGTCCACACTGTGCGGCTGTGGCTCTTCTCCCCCAGTGCCACGGTGTTCCTCTGGGGAAGTGTCTCTTTACTGATCAACATCTACACTGGACTGTCAGAAGTCCTGCTGGTATCTACTCCACTCCTTTAGTCCTGGCTCCATGGAAGTTGTTCCTAAGCAGGGCATGGTGGTGCATGTCTGTAGTCCCAGCTGCTCAGAAGGCTGAGATGGGGAGGATCACTTGAGCCCAATAGTTGGAGGCCAGACCCCCATTTCAAAAAAAGGAAGATGGACACAGTGGTGTAAACCTGTGATTCATCAACTCCAGAGGCTGAGGCAAGAGGTTTGTAAGTGTGAGACTGACCTGAGCAACTTAGTAAACTTAGCAAGACTTTGTTTCAAAATAAAAGTTTCATAAAAGGCCTGGGGATGTAGCTCAGAGGTAGAACACCCCTGGGCTCAATTGCCACTACAAAAAAGGTAAAGACTCTTACCATTGTCACTCTTTTTTTTTGTACTGGGGATTAAACCCAGGGGTATTTTACCAATGAGCTACATCCCCAGCCCTTTTTATTTTGAGACAGAGTCTCAGTAAGTTGCTTAAGGCTTTACTATTTGCCCAGGCTGGTCTAGAATTTGGGATCCTCCTGTCTCAGCCTCCCATGTCACTGGGATTATAGGCATGCAACTCTGTACCCTTTTCCTATTGTCTATCTTTGTCTCTCAGGGCTGCCACCTAAATTCTTCTTTTCTATCTTGTTCATTCTTTTTTCAGCTAAAATAATCTTTTAATGCATCTATTAGTTTTCTTTTCAATGCTCATATTTTTACCTCTAGAAGTTCTGTTAAGTTTTGGGTTTTTTGATTTTTTAATTTATATATGATAGCAGAATGAATCACAATTCTTATTACACATATAGAGCACAATTTTTCATATCTCTGGTTGTATACAAAGTATATTCATACCATTCACATCTTTATGCATGTACTTTGGATGATAATGTCCATCTCTTGATAGGCTTTTGTTTATTATTTTTTGTTTTTAATTCATCTTTTTAAGTCTTCAACAATTTAAAGTATACTTATTTACAATTTTAAGTATACTTACATTTGTCTCCTGGCATGAATTCAGTATTTTCATTTTCTTACTTTTGTGGGAGATGAATCCTGCTCTTTATTGTGGACCTTGGCCACAGTGAATGATGTGTGTTTTGTGATTTCGAACTGTCAGTTCATCTGCAGCATGGTCTTGTCCATGGGAACCCTGTGCAGTCTGTGTGTTGAGTCAGCTTCTCCAGTGTGGATGTTGCATTTGCCCTGTGGGTGCAGTGGGAGCTGTAGGATCTTGGAGGCCATGGAAGGAGCCTGTGTGAGATCCCCCTCCAGGTACAGCTTCTCCTGCTTGCTCAGTCCTTCCTCCCAAGAGCACTTCATTGTTCCCAGCTTCTGGGAGTTCCCATTACCTTTTGTGGTCCCCACTATTTATTAATTTTTAAATAAACCTTTAACTTTGGGATGATTTTCGTCTATAGGGAAGTTGCAGAGATGCTGCAGAGTCCCAAATCATCTGCCCCAGCTCACTGAATGCTTGTCTTGGTAACTGGTCACAGCCCAGCCCCTTACTCCTGACCCAGGCTGATTCTGTTTCCACTTTCTGGGCAACTTCCTTTCTGTTACAGGACCCCAGGCTGCTCCAGAGGCCCTTCTGGTCTGTGATGGCCCTACAGTGGGGCACACTGGCTGGTGTCTGGTAGTGCAGACCCGGGGCTTGTCTTGCATTGTTTCCTGGTCAGCAGGTGCCCTTGTCACCTCCCAGCAGGGTCAGTGAGATACCTCAGGGATCATTGGTCGTGTGGCCCAGATGACGTCTGCCCGGTGCCTCCTTGCACAAAAAACACCCTCTGCCCTGAGGACCAAGGAAAGCAGGTCCAATCACTCAGCTCTGCTCCTGTGGCTGATGCCCCCATGTGTGTCCAGCCTGGGCCCTGCCCCTATGCTACTTACATCCCACTGCCCTATTGCTCTTTCCCCATGTGTGGTCTCAGAGATCCACTCGGAGCATGCATGTCTGAAACAAAACCCAGTCTTCCCCCTGCCCATTCCTGAACATCTCTTGGTGGCCTCCAGCTGCCCTCAGTTCAGCATGGCAGCCCACCCTCGCTGGCACTTAGGCCAAAGCCTTGGCAGCTCCCAACATCTACATTGTTCTATAGCAGCCCTAGTCTGAGTGCTCCCCACCCCACCACCCATCCTGCCCGAAACTGTGGCCTACGAGCCCTGCGGTCTGTCTCCATGCTTTTACAACAACAGTCCTTTTAAAACAGAAGTAGGCAGGGTGTGGTGGTGTATGCCTGTAATCCCAGGGGCAGCTGGGGAGGCTGAGGCAGGAGAATAGCTAGTTCACAGCCAGCCTCAGCAATTTAGCAAGGTCCTAACAACTCAGTGAGGCCCTCTCTCTAAATAAAATATGGAAAGGGCTGGGGCTGTGGCTTAATGGTTAAGTGTCCCTGGTTACAATCCCTATACCAAAAAAAGTGGGAAGTGGGTTCAAGCTCCGTGCTCTGTGGGTCCCTTTCCCTGGTTGAAGCCAGAGCCTTCCCAGAAGCTATCCTGCCACATGCTCCACCCTCTCTCTGACCCTGCTTCCTGTATTCTTCCTGTATAGGCTTGCTGCCCATAGCTAATTCTCGGTATGTCTTGGAGCCTTTGTGCCAACAGGCCCCACTATGAAACCTCTCATGTGAAACACGAGACCACTCCAGATACACAGGACCTTAGGGCCTTCCACTGACAAGTGCAGCCAAGTGCCTGCGTGTTCCTTCCTGTCCAGCTATCTCTAGCAGTTGGGCATTGGGCTTGCAGAAATAGAAAATGGTTTATGCCTGCAACTGAGGTGGGCATTTGTAAAATGATAACTGATAAGGATTTTGGGTATTTGTCAGCTGTGTGTCCATGTAGCAGGGGAGTCCTCATGAGCTTGGTGATACAACTTGGGGTGGGAGCTCAGGCATACGGACTCTTTCACCAGGAACCTGAGGCCTCTAGTCTTCTGGTGTGAGCATTTGGATGCCAGTAGTTCTTCCTGGCCCTCCAGCAGGGTACAAGGGCAAGAAAAGGGATTTTGGTTTCTCAGTCCACTGGCACCTCCATATCTCATCTCCTTTGGAGTATGTGTCCTTGTATTGATTTGGAGTATTTGTTCTCCTGTGTGCATGTGATAGGAAACTAGCTTATTGTTTCAGGTCTCATGTTTGAATCCTATCCATGTTTTAGCAGTATCTTTGATCTTTTCTGAAAAACATGTATTTTTTAAATTGATACATAAAAGCAAAAATTATACCTATTTAGGAGGTACATGTGATGTTTCAATACACATACACATTGTATAATGTTTAAATCATCCTCTGCCTTTTTAAAGATAATTGTGCTTAAATGAGCCATATAACAAGTACTTGTAATTCTGCTTTTGTGTTTATAAATGCTTAAAAAGTTATTTTATTGCTCTGTGCTTTGCAAAAAGTTTTGTTTTACAAAAATATGCAAGCATTGTTTGAAATATATGTTCTGATGGATAAATTCAGCCCGTTCTAACTGGACATCAAGCATCTTGGTGTTAAAATGTGCCTGAAAGCGTGGKGTTTCAGAGGTGCTGTGACCCTGGCTTTAATTTTTGGCTGGCACCAGGCAGGCATACGAGCGGGATGATCTCACAGTTTTTTGTTGCCAGTGTCTGTAGTGTGAGCCTGCAGGCACAGTGTTTCTGCAGCATCAGGGGTAGGAGAGCTTCCCCACCCTGACTTAGCATCTGGGCATTCCCTACAACCATGACCAAAAGGAAGGGACCAAGGTCAGGAGGCTGTGGCAGATGGGTTGCCCCTCTCCTCTGGACTTCTCGTATGCCCAGTGGTGACTTGATCTCTCATAGAAACCCTTCTTCCAAAGCAGAGTGTTTGAGTTAATGGTTATGCCACAGGCCTTTTGTTCTTTGTGAAGTAAGTGAAGTCATAGTCCATGCTCTCCTTCCTTCTTTTTTCCAGTTCCTCTTTTTTGTGCGTGTTCCCAGGTGTTAGCAGTGGCCCTAAGCAATTTAGTAAAATTAAGTTGAGACTTTACTAAGTTGCTTAGAGCGGCCAAGGAAAGATGCAAAATTCCTTTGCTTGGACAGTCTGCCCAGAATTGGGCAGCAAAGCCTTCCACAGTGAGCGGAGGAGCACTTTACCTGATGACCTTGGGAGTTGTTCCTGAGGAGAGTAATTCCAGCTTCTAAGTCTATACTTCATTGAGAACAGAGGGTTTTGTTTTATTTTGTTTACCTGGCTGGAATTTTTCACAGGGTGCTAATTTGGAAGGGAGCAGAGGGATCATTTACAGGAGAGGGTCACACTAGAGCTTCAGAGCTACCCTGCTAGCATGTGTCAGGTGCTTAATGAGTAAGACCTTGCTTTGTGGCCTGGCCCCCTCCATCTCCTCTACCTTCCCATTCTGCCTGAGTTCCAGTTTTGCTATTTCACTGAAAAAGATGAGTCTTAAAGGAAAAATAGGGGGAGGCACTTTGGAACAGCCACATAAAGACCAGACAGGTGTCAGCAGGAATGTGGGGCTGGGGGCCAGGTCCCCCCTGACTTGCACTGAGGAGAGGGTCTGTAGAGCCTGTTTGGATTTTCCTAGGATCTCATAGGTAATTTTGATTTGAGCAAAGTGTTATGGGTTTGTTTATTTCTGTGTGGTACTGAGGATAAAACCCAGTGCCTCACATGTGCTAGGCAAGCACTCTGCACTGAGCTCAGCCCCAGCCCCATGAACATTGTTTTAAGTGGAAGACATTTGAAGTGTGTGACTCACATGTCACTGTTGGGTACTTGCTCATAGTGTTAAGTAGAAGATAACAAATAAGCCTAGAGGGTCAGTATAGAATAGCTGCATTTGGTGAGTCATTTGGGACTCTGGTTTTGAGAACCAGCAGGAAAAGGTAGGTTTCTGAGCCTCTAGGACACAAGTGACCATGCCAGAGCAGAACATAAGATGCTGTTCAAGCAGCTGCCTGGCAGCACTATTGCACTTCCTGGCTCTGGAATTGAGGATTCTAGTTTCCTCCCATTAGTGGAATCACAAAATTTGACCTTGTGTCTAGCTTATCTCACCTAGCATTGAGCTCAGGGGCACTTGACTACTAGGCCACATCCCCAGCCCTATTTAGTATTTTAATTAGAGACAGGATCTTACTGAATTGCTTGGTGCCTTGCCATTGCTGAGGCTGGCTTTGAACTTGCGATCCTCCTGCCTTAGCCTCCTAAGCCGCTGGGATGATAGGCATGTGCCACTGCCCCCCCCCACTTTTTATTTTTTATTTATTTTATTTATTTCATTTTTTTAAAGAGAGAGGGAGATCATTTTTTATTATTTTAAACAGAGAGAGAGAGAGAATTTTAATATTTATTTATTTATTTATTTTAGTTCTCAGCGGACACAACATCTTTGTTTGTATGTGGTGCTGAGGACCGAACCCGGGCCGCACGCATGCCAGGCGAGCGCGCTACCGCTTGAGCCACATCCACAGCCCCCCCCCCTTTTTTTTTAACTACAGGGGATTGAACCCGGGATGCTTTGCCACTGAGCCATATCCTCAACCTTAAATTTTTTTATTCTTGAGCCTAAAATTTAGTGAGTCTCAACTTAATTTTACTAAGTTGCTTAGGGCCTCAAACTTGCAATCCTCCTGCTTCAACCTTTTGAGCCACTAGGATTATTTTGGAGATGTATCATATCAGTTATTAGTTTTGAGAAGCTTTTGTAAAATTATCAGGAGAAGTCACATTTTCATCAGGTGCTCTTTTGCATCAGATGATGCATCGTCTGCATCTGCATTAGATGATCAGATGATTTCCTGCTTTATCTTGAGGAGATGCTCAGGGTACACACAGACTGGGAGCTCCCTCAAAATACACAACCCATGGGCTGGGAATGTGGCTCAGGCGGTAGCACGCTTGTCTGGCATGCGTGCGGCCCGGGTTCGATCCTCAGCACCACGTACCAACAAAGATGTTGTGTCTGCCGAGAACTAAAAAATAATTAAAAAAAAAAAAATACACAACCCAAACAGACTGGAAGAAGTCAAGAACAGAGAAGGCACACTGGCTAGCCCTGGCCAGACAAAGAGGATTTCAGAGCAGCTGCACTGGGAGCAGGGAGGGAAGGTGCACCTCATCCCAGAAGCCAGGTGCAGAAGAGCTCAGTGTACTGCACATACCTAGAATGTCCAGAGAGGACATGTCCATTTTGTAGAGCAAAATGGAGTTATCCTTCCTGAACACTGGGGGCTTTCTGGCATGTGAAAATATAAATCTGGGTTTGGGTGGTGGTTTCAATGGAATCTATAAATTTACCACGAATCCCTGAGTTGTACACTTACAATTTGATGAATGCTGTGGTATGCAAATTTTACCTGAGTGGTAAAATACTGCTTTAACCTCAGTATTTAAAACTAATGGAGAATACCAAAAAAAAAAAAAAAAAAGCAAAATCAAGACAAAATGAGTACCATCTTGAAAGATATGCCCCTGTCCAGACTGGGACAATTTGAGAGTGAGAGCAAGTGAAAAGATAAAGGAATCCATGAGTCTTTTGGAATAATAAAGAGCATGGGAGTGCAAGAAAGCAGGCTTCTCTCTGGCTTCAGGTGGCAGGTACAGAGATGGGGAAGGGCTGCTCTGGAGCACCAGTGTGAGGAGGAGACCTATCTTTGTAAGCCTGGGGTGTCCCCTGCAGTGGCTGGCTCACAATCGAGCAGTCAATGTGTGTTCTATCAGAGATGTTTTTTGGGTCTTTCATTGTCTCTCTATGACACGTGCCAAGTGAACCTGGCCTGTGAGCTACCACCATATACCACTTTCCGAAGACAATTGGCATGTAGATTTGGGTGGTGGTAGGGATGTGCTGTTTTGTTTTGTGGTGCTGGAGATTGAACCCAGAGCCTGCCTCATGCTAGGGCAGGCGTTCTACCATTGAGCTACATTCCTATTCCTTTTTATTTTATTTTGAGATGGGGTCTTGCTTAGGATGGCCTGGAACTTGTGATCCTCCCACCTCAGCCTGCCACGAGTAGCTGGGATCACAAGCATGCTTGGCATGTGGTTTTGACTGTCAAGAAAGAAATGGGTTTCAGGAGATATCTGCTAAGTGGTTTTGGAACTTGGAGCTCCTGAGCCATATGCCCATGGTTGTCCTTGTAAGTGATGACAGAAATGCTCCCACTGTTTGCTCCTGTTCGCATCTTTCTCTGCCCCCGCTGATAGAGACCTCCTCTCTCCAGTTTCTCCGGATCTGTGCTGACCTCTTCAGACTGGTCCCTTTCCTGGTCTTCGTGGTGGTGCCCTTTATGGAGTTTCTGCTGCCTGTGGTCGTGAAGCTCTTCCCCAACATGCTGCCATCCACCTTTGAGACCCAGTCCATCAAGGTGAGGACATCATGGTCATAAGCACGTTTAAAAATGCATCTGAAGTTCCTCACCAGAGCCATGTTGCTTGTGACTGACACATGAGGATGAGGTGTCTTGTCATCCACAAAGGCTCAGGGTCCTCCATACCCTGTCATGTGTGTTCTGTCTGGGAACCTCTGTGAGGCCCCTTTGAGTGAAGTGGTTGTGTTAGCTTCACTGTCTGGCAGTGAAGAACATGCCTGCCAACCCCTGCTCTAGGGAGTCACACAAAGATGTATATATTTTTAAAGCCATGAAATAGAAGAGATTGTTTCAGAATGTATTGCACTTAGATGAAAATAAGCATTGTTGTACGAAATGTGTATTAGAGCTTGGGGAGCTTGGGGGAACCTGATGGAAGTGTGAGACGTTTGTTTTACAGGGGTGATGGCAGTTGGAGGAGGCTCCTGGAGCTGTGGCCTGGAGTAGAGGGAGCTGGTGGGATGTGGGAGGGCAGCAGGCCAGGGCAAGCCCAGCCCTCTCTCTGCCCTTGCAGGAGGAGAGGCTGAAGAAGGAGCTACGGGTCAAGCTGGAGCTGGCCAAGTTCCTACAAGACACGATTGAGGAGATGGCCCTGAAGAACAAGGCAGCCAAGGGAAACGCCACCAAAGACTTCTCTGCATTTTTCCAGAAGGTGCTGTGTGCCTCAGCCCCGTGTACTCTCCATCAGTCCAAGGCTAGGTGGAGCTGCAGAGCACTCCAGCCTTGGCAGCTGCTTCCTCCCTTCTCTTCCTTCCTTTTGGCTACACTCAGCAGAGCGGAGCTGCCAGGCAATGCTGGCTGGTGCTTTAGGGAGTTTAACAAGGAGACTCTGTTGGTCTCCAGAATCACTTATTCATGTCCTGGCTTTGCAGCACTCAGAGAAGGGAGAACATCATAGACAAGGAGTCCAAGACCTGAGATTATGGTATGGTGGGTAGTTTGGCTGAGCCACTTTGCCTGGTGCTACCTAGAATCTTGTCAGAGTCTGGGTGACGGCAGCAGGAGTTGAAAAGGGAGAGGGAGTGCTATCGACAGGGTCTCTGGGATCAAGCCCAGGGTCATGGAGCTTGAGAGATTTGTGTTGCTTTTTGAAGTCTGAAGACTGTCTGAAGCTGGGTGCCATGGTGCACACCTATAATCCCAGCAGCTTGGGAGGCTGAGGCAGGGAGGATCACAAGTTCAAAGCCAGTCTCAGCAACTCAGTGAAACCCTGTCTCTAAATAAAATACAAAATAGGGCAAAAAGACTGTGTCTGAGGTTCTCAGAAAACCTCCACCAGACAGTGTCATTGGGCTTTGGCCCTTGCTTATGTGTTGTCTGGTGCTTTGCACTGCAGCACAGAGGAGCAAAGTCTGCAGCTACAAAGGCAGAAATACCTGCTCTGTGGCCTTTACAGAAAAGTGTGCTCACCCCAGCGCAACTTTGGAGATGTCATCTTTGGGGAAGAGGCAGGTATAGCTATGGGATGTTTTCCCACTCATCTTGATTCAGGCTGCTTTTAGTGATCTTTGTTTGTATGTGGTGCTGAGGATTGAACCCGAGGCAGGTATAGCTATGAAACCGTTGAGTAGGTAGGTTCTGCAAGAAGCTGCAAGCAGCTGCGCTTCAGAGTCCCAGGAGAGGGTGGGGTCAAGTGGGAGCTAGAAGGGAGGTGGGGCTTCTGGTGGGCTGCAGCTCCAGAGAAGGACCTGCTTGTGGCAGCCTGGGTTGAGGGATGCTGCATTTGGCCTTCTCCCTGGAGAACCCCCGAAACTGTTTCTAGGTGATATCCTGTGTGGCTCAGTCTGGGTCCTTTTGATCTGAGTCAAGCTCCTGGGGGGTGCCAGGTCTGCTGTTCTACTCCCTGACCTCTGCTGGGGACCAGCCCAGCTCACTCCTGATAGAGACTAAGCCTATCTGTTATATGGGAAGAGGTGTGGGCCAGACTGGTCTGAACTGAGGTTCTCTGCTTCCTAGAGGGCAGGCACATAGACAGTAGCAGTCCAGGGCTCAAGTGGCAGCCCATTCCCCTGTACTTGGACTCTCTCGGAGGGAAAAGCAGGTGCACACAGCTCTGCCCTCTTCTCACCACTGAGCAGCTGGGGTTCTGCGTTAAGACCCAGGGCACTGCCTCTGCAATTGGTGGTTAGGTCCCCTTTCCCAGTGAATGGTGGCAGGAAAGGTGCAGGGCCAGTAGTTGATGTGTGTATCTGAATCCATGACAGGCTCAGTTGACACTGAGTTCCTGAGGTGTGAGAGGCTCCCCATAGAAGTATGGTAAGAGGTGGGTGGTCCAGGGCCTCTGCACCCTGACCCCCCCCCTTGGTTCTTTACTTCTGCTGTGTCCTGAGACTGGGGTGGGGACAGGAGAGCTCTTAGAACTTACCAAGTGGATAAGCCATCTGGGTTGCTCCTGCTGCAGATCCGGGAGACAGGAGAAAGACCCAGCAATGAGGAAATCATGCGGTTTTCCAAATTGTTTGAGGATGAGCTGACTTTGGATAACCTCACACGACCGCAACTGGTGGCACTGTGCAGACTGCTGGAACTCCAATCCATCGGCACCAACAACTTTCTGCGCTTCCAGCTCACCATGAGGCTGAGGTCCATAAAGGCCGATGACAAGGTGAGCCATGCCACAAGAAAGGCCACGCGGACCACTCTGCTTCTTTGGTTTCTTGCCTTTCTGTTCCTTTTTTTTTTTTTCTTTAACTGATATATATGTGTGTGTGTGTGTGTGTGTGTATATATATATATATATATATATATATATAAACGTAAAGGTTTAACAAATTTGTGGAGTGCCATGTGATGTTCAATGCATACCTATTCTGCATGTTCATATGTTGCGATATTGGGATAGCACCCAGGGCCTCAAGCATCTAGGCAAGTGCTTAAGTCACTGAGCTTTGTCCCCAGCCCTTTAAATATTTTTTAAAAATTTTGAGGCAGGTTGTCCAGGTTGGCTTTAACTTGTGGTTCTCCTGCCTCAGGCTCCCATGTTGCCTCTGTCCCTTGCCCTGGGCTGCACTGTGGCTTCCTACACGTCCCCAAGCCCTTCTCCTGCTTCCCCCAGGACAGTCAGCAGGCCTGCCATTGTTTTGCAGAGGGTAGCTTTCCTCTGCAGCTTCCTTCTCAGGGTGTGCTCCCTGAGTGTACCTGCACACACTGTGCGTCAGGCATCTTAGCCTCTCAACCACTGTGCTTGCTTCTGCTTTCAGGTCACTCATCCCTCATTCTCTCCCAGGTTGGCTCCACTCTAATACCCATTGTGTGACCTCTAACTTTCAACCATAGAAATTCTCTCTCTTTTTTTTTTTTTCCAATTTTTTCTTTTTTGCAATATTTGTATTGATTGAACTTAGGGGTGCTCTGCCATTGAGCTATAACCTCACCCCTTTTATGTTGCTTTAGAGAGGCCACTAAGTTGCCCAGGGTAGCCTTGAACTTGTGATCCTCCTCCTCAGCCTCCTGAGTTACTAGGATTACAGGCGCGGCTACTGCACCTAGCTCGCTTTGTTTTCTTGAACACTCGAATYGAAGCTTATGAAGGTTCCACCTAGAGTGCGATGGGGACTGAAGCACATGTGGTGTGACTCTTAGGTTGAGGACAGGCAGCATTCCAAGCATCATTACTATGACTGGGAGAAGTAAAGGGAGGTGAGGTTTCTACACTCTACTTGAACCAGCAGGAGAGTGGATTGGAGTGTGTGCACTGTGATACTAGGGGACTGCTGAAAATGCTCCAGAAGCACAACTTGGGTGTCCCACAGGAGGACAGGGAACAGACAGAAGTGAAAACCAGCTTTAGTCACAGTAGACCAAGTGGACACAACCCAGGTAGGCGAATGGCTGAGCAGACTTCGCTGTCCATCTAGTTCCATGCTATTCGATGATTAGGAGGAGCTGTCTTGGATGCCACAATTGGATGGGTCTGGAGGGAACTCCAGAAGCTGCCTGCATTATGATCCCCACATACCTAACGTTCTTCAGATGACAGCCATGCAAACAGGGGCTGTCTTGGGTTAGGGGTGGCTTCTGTCCTATGATCCCCATGAACATGACATTCTTTAGTTGACAAGTGACAGCCATGCAAGTGAGGGCCCTCGTGGGGGTGGAGGTGACTTCATCCTGCCTGGAGCAGAATGGATCCTGACTAGAATGTTGTGTTGTTTTATAAACTGTTACCGCTAGGACTCCCAGAGAAGGCACGTGGGGTCATTGTTCTTTGTTAGAGCTACATGTGTATCTACAATGATCATAAAAAGTATGATTTTTTACAATGGAGATAAAGTTGCTACCTAGGATGTTTATGAGGCAAACGCTGAGAAGGGGCTAGGGCTACCTGATGCAGACCACGTGGGCCCTGAGAGCTGGCCTTGTGTCTTCTGTCTTCCCACCTGTTGCTTCCTATACTTCTCTGTGACTTGTGCAGCCTCAGGGTATGAAGCCACAGGTATCTTCAGGGTGTTGGGGTCTCTCCTCCCTCCATCCTGTGAACACTGAGAATGCCTTTGCAGATCGCGGGCTCTGTGAATCAGGCCAGGGCAGGATAGGTTCTGCTGGCAAGACGTGGGCCCTGCCACACGGAAGAGGTGCCCGCGTGTTGAGAGTGCCTACTCCCTGCGTGGGCCTAGGTCGAGGTGGATCTCTCTGCTTCCCTCGGTTAATCTTGGCCGTTCTGTGTTCCCTGGGCCCTGGCCATCCTTCTAGTCACTTTAGACCCAGAACCAGGCTCTGGTGTGATGCTCTGTCTTTTGCTTGGCAAAAGCTCTTAGAAAAATGGCCTCTGACTTGACAGTTCTTTTCTAGTCGTGTTAACAGCAGCACCACAAACCTTGCACAATGGTGAGTGGCTGGTGTTCTCTTACAGCTGATTGCTGAGGAAGGGGTGGACAGCCTGAACGTCAAGGAACTGCAGGCAGCGTGTCGGGCGCGAGGCATGCGGGCCCTTGGCGTCACAGAAGAACGTTTGCGGGGACAGTTGAAGCAGGTGCGTGGCCTGGGGCCCAAGTTCCAGGAGGAGCTCGCTTTCACCCAGACCAGAATAGGCCTGTTGTGGAAAGCTTCAAGAGTGAAAAACTACTGAGGTTGGGGTGTGGCTCAGTGGGGGAGTGCTTGCCTGGCATATTCAAGGCCCTCTAAGACTCACTTGGGCCTTTGCCATCCTCTGGGCTGTCAAGCAGGCCTGGTGAGGTGACACTGTAACCCAAGGGGGTGCCTGGGCCAGTCCGGTACTGCTTGCTGGCATTCTAGTCCTGCTGTCGTGCAATATGAGTGTCCTCAATTTTGGTGGCCTGTTGAGTGTGGATTTGATTGTTTCAGCTTGCTCCTGTCACCCGAAGGCCAGTGAGCACAGGTGGCCTCCTTGGACAGCTCTGGGGCATGTTCACATTTTGTGATGGCTCAGCTGAGCCTGGGAAGGTCTGGGAAACATGCTCTCTAATCTGGCTCTGATGCCCTTGGCTGGGCAACTCTGAACAGGTGTCTGGTACACAGTGGGCACCTACATTTGGATTTCAGTGCACTCTGCCTCCTGCAGCAGCTCAAGGGGCCCTCCAGCAGAAATCCCAATGTCAGGTCTTTGGTGCTCAGTGCCATTGGATCGAGTGACTGTACAGGGGGTAGGGGACATTTGTCCTTTGCTTCAGAAGGCCTAGGATGCAAGGCTCAGACCCAATCTCCCTCCAGCTCTGTTCCACGATGACAGCTTCTTGGCTATCATCCTCCTGCTGGTTTTCAGGCATTCCTTCTTCAATGTAGATGAAGAGGCATGCACACCTACCTCCCCTCTTGATGTAAATGGCATTTCCTAGGCAGTACCTTCTCACCAGATGCATGGCTCCCCAGCAGAAACTCCTGTCTGGTAGTGGGCTCGCCCTGCAAGTGCTGGCCATTTCTGGTGGTCTTCAGCCTTCTGCAGCACAGCTGCCTGGAGCCATTCAGGTGGGCTGCTGTGTGTGTATTCCCTGCCCAGGCTCCTCAGTGTGGTCCATGAGGCTATAGCATGTTTTGGGGTCAGGGCTCTTCCTTGCCTCTGTTCAGTGTTTTCATCCTGTTCTTAGCATTTTGTCTTATCTTTTTCTGTGTGTTCAGTTTGTGTCCAAATGTAAATCACCGAAGTAGCCCGACACAGTGCCCAGCCTGTGGCAAGCCTACACACACATGAGTGGAGTCAGTCTCTGTGTTCCTGCATGAGTGGGGAGGTTCTCAGTAATTCCGTCTTTGCTGCTCTGCTGTTTCTAAATACAGAGAGTGCTGACTGTTCTTTAAAAAAAAAAAATCAAATTGTGTACTTTATTTTTATGTGATGCTGATAACGAACCCAATTCCTCGCACCTGCCGAGCAAGCACTATACATACCACTGAGCCACAACCCCAGCCTGTTGACTGTTCTTAAGTCCTGGTGATTGAGCTACAGAGCTGTTGATGGCCCTGGGGCTTGTGCCTTCAGTTTACCAGGGTAGTCAAGTTCCAAGGTAGCACAACAAATGACCTTTTGAAACATGGAATGTCATTTTTGGAGCATTTGTTACAGTGACTTAATGAATCCATCTACTCAAGCCCTGTTTTGCTTGTTGCTGCCAAACCATATCAGCAGAGTAAAGCTTGGGGACTGAAGGATCTGGGCCCTTCACAAGAGAACAGGATAGGGCCAGGGGTCAGGTGGGATGGAGGCTGCACCAACAAGCCTGTTCTGATCCCAGTGGCTGGACCTGCACCTGCACCACGAGATCCCCACGTCACTGCTCATCCTGTCCCGAGCCATGTACCTCCCAGACACTCTCTCGCCTGCTGACCAGCTCAAATCCACACTGCAAACCCTCCCGGAAATTGTGGTATGTGCTCTTGGGAGACCCTGTTTGTCAGTTCACTTGGGGGGGAGGGGGGGCACTCATCTTCTAAGCCATGGAAGCCTTCCATGCAGGAGCCTGCAGGTCCACCTGTTCTCGCCTCATCACTTATCTGCCTGTCCCCACTCCCACCCACCACACCTGGCTTGGGATAAGCCAGTCTTGGGCACACTGAGTCGTCCTGATCCTGCCACAGTTGGCTGGAGGCAGCAGGTTTGAAAGACTTCCTTGAGTCTTGGTAATGGTGCCTGTGTCCGTCTTTTTTCTGAATATGGAGTGGTCCTCTGAAAGGTGCAGGAGGTAATACTTGGTAGCCTTGTACATTCCCAGCACTGGTGGCAATGTTTCAGTATGCCTTCCATCACTTCTGTGGAGTTCAGATGATGACGTTGCTGGGAGATACAGAGAGGCCTGGGACAGTGTGCACTCTGCAGCCCTGGGACTCACTCACAAGTGCCCTTCTTTTCTGAAGGCAAAGGAAGCCCAGATGAAGGTGGCAGAGGTGGAGGGTGAGCAGGTGGACAACAAAGTAAAACTGGAGGCCACGCTGCAGGAAGAGGCCGCCATCCAGCAGGAGCACCGGGAGAAGGAACTGCAGAGGGCCGCAGAGGCAGCAGTAAGCACTGGACAGGACCCACCACTGGGGGCTGTGGCTGTCCTGGTCCAGCTTCCCTGGAAACCCCTTCATGTCCTTGCTTGTCTTCTGAAGTAGTCAGGGAACTGCAGGGAGGCCCACTCAGCACCGGCAGAGGGTCATTGTGGAACCTACCTTCTCAGGGTGCTGGCCTAGGGCCTTGGGCAGAGACCAAACTTGTTTTCCCTGGACTCAGAGGCTGCAGGAAGATGCACTGTGACAAGGGCTTGGGATGTTCTGGGTTGTTCATCACCCACCCATAGGCAGCCTCCTGCTCTACAAGTGTTGAGCACCTTGGAAAGGTAGTGAGGAAAGACCAATACAGAACAAGGCACTCTGACCACTCTGTTGAGGGGCCTTAGGTGCCTTGCTCAGACTTCAGCAGGCAAGTCTGCTGCTGGTTAATGGCTCTTGGGTCTCCACTGTCACCTAATGGACTCATTCCGAGTTTGGCCTCTGTTAGTAGCATATGCATGCAAGAGTGCAGGTGTGACAGCATGGTTCTTCCTGTGATTCTTTTAGAAGGACATTGAGCTGGAAGGAGTGGAAGCTGCCACCCCTGGGAGGCCAGTGGTTGAGCCAAAGCCAGAGGTGCCTGATGTGATCCTGCCCACAGAGGCCCTGAAGGATATTGCTCCATTGCTAGAGGGTGTGAAGGTAAGAGGCATGCTCCGTCCAGGAGGGGAGGAGGCCAGAGGGTAAGGATAAGACCTTAGGTGTGTCAGCCTGTCTGGCAGCAGGAAGGGGAATGAAGGCTGATCCCTCAAGGCAGGACTTTCTCCACAAGCCAACATGGTGTCATCTCCTGGGTGACCTGGGTGGGGGGCTCCTTGGGAACCACCTGCCAATTGGGGACACAGACGTCCCCGGGGACCCATGCCAGGTGGCCTGGGATGCCATCCATTGTTTTCTGTTCTGAACTCCTGGAGGACCCCATGTATAGAAAGAAGCAGATTCTAGGATGTCTTACATGGGCATTTGGCTGCTGGTGGGGGGTTTGTGTCTAGGGAGGTCTTAGCGTGAGGCTCTGAAGAAGCCTCAAGCACATGTGTCTGGAGAGAATGGGGTGGCAGATCTGAGTTTGGGGCTGAGAGGGAGGTACCCAAGAGGTGGAGTTGGCTGTGCCCTTGACAAAGACAAAGGTGAGGCCTGAGTGCTGCCTCTGGTGGACAGGGGCCTTGAAGGACCAGGGAGGGCAGCCCCATACTCAGGCCTATGAGGTAGGATAGGTCTAGTTTTGTGTTCCTGTGAGAAGAAGTGTCTAAAGAGGAGAAAGTATCTGAAACTGACTTGTGTTTGGGGGGCTTTTGCAGTGATGAGCCTGAGCCCCAGTCACTGTATTGAGAAGGGTTGCATGGGGCAGGGCTGACCAGAGCCTTGTAGGGGCTCCTTGTGACACTAACCTGACTTGGGATAATCCAGGAGGAGGTGAAACTCTAGGGCTGAACGCCTAGGGAAAGCAGGTGTCTCCTGCTGACCTGAAAACTCTGAAATCAACATGTGGCACCATCAAGGGAGAGTTCATAGCAGGAGTAGACATTCTAGGGAATCTGGGCTCAAGTGTGACCCCACGACGGTGGGCCTCAGGCATTCCTGCAGAAGGTGTTAAGTGAGATATAACTGTTTCATTTTTAAGGGATGTAGGACTGGGCTAGGCCTAGCAAAACAGGCAGGGCTTGGCCAATCAGCAAATAGGGCAAGACAAGGCTGGCCTCATGGAACACATGAATCCTGTTTTCAACGGGTTAAAGACTAGGCTAGGGGCTGGGATTGTGGCTCAGTGGTAGAGTGCTCGCCTAGCAGGGGCAGGACCTGGGTTCAATTCTCCGCATCACATAAAAATAAAGGCATTGTGTTGTGTCCATCTACACCTAACAAAATAAATATTTTTTAAAAAGACTAGGCTATAAGGAAGTTTAGAAATCTCAGGAGATGCCTCACATGCACAAGGCCCTGGGTTCAATCCCTAGCACCACCAAAAAAAGAAAGAAAGAAATCTCAGGAGAACTAACAGAACTAACATATGAAGAATCATCAAGAATGTCTTAGAGGGCTGGGGATGTGGCTCAAGCGGTAGCGCGCCTGCCTGGCATGCGTGCGGCCCGGGTTCGATCCTCAGCACCACATACCAACAAAGATGTTGTGTCCGCCGAGAACTAAAAAAAAATAAATATTAAAAATTCTCTCTCTCTCTCTCTCTCTCTCTCTCTCTCTCTCTCCTCTCTCACTCTCCTCTCTCACTCTCTCTTTAAAAAAAAAAAAAAAAAAAAAAAATGTCTTAGAAACCCAGACTTTTGGACTGGTATAGCAGTGGTACAGCATTTGCCTAGCACATGTGAGGCACTGGGTTCAATCCTCAGCACTACATACAAATACATACATAAAATAAAGGTATTATGTCCATCTACAACTAAAAAAAAAAACTTTTTTTTTTTTAATTTTAAAAAATTGAAGAGTGCCCAGCCCCCATGGACTGGTACAGCCTGTGGTTGCCAAGTGCCCATCATTGTTGATGAGATTGATGGCCTGAGCAGCCCCAAGACCAGGGAGGACATGAGCCTATAGTTGAAACTCTTTCCCCAAAGGACCCCCCAGGCCTGCATGGCTTCACAGGGGTCACTGGTGCATCTAAATCAGGCAGGCACAGTGGCACACATCTGTAATCCCAGTGGCTTGGGAACTTGGGTCAGGAAGATCACAAGTTCAAAGCCAGCCTTAGCAAAAGCGAGGCACTAAGCAATTCCGTCTCTAAATAAAATACAAAATAGGACTGAGGATGTAGCTCAGTGGTCCAGTGCCCCTGAGTTCAATTTTCAGTACCCAAAAAAGAAACAGATGGTCCCAGTGCTGAGGAAATTTTGACAGAATAGGGAACATTCCCCAAGTCATGTCATGAAGCATCACCTTGTATCAAACCAGAATCATGTAAGAAAAATTATAGGCTGCTATCTTTTATGAACATAGATGCAAAAATTCTTAGCAAAATACAATTCTTAACAAAGTGTTTAGCAAATCAAATGCAATTATTCTACAGAAGGGATTGTGGCCACATGGAATCTGCCCAGAGAATACAGATTGGCTTAATGTTTTAATAAGATAAGCAGTCTTTAATTACATACTATGATTCTGTCAGGCCTCTTCAAGAATGCTCGTCAGCATGCAGTGTGATCAATAGATGCCGAGCAGGAAGAGAGGGATGCCACTGCACATCTGCCACCAGTAACTCCCCAGCACTGGGGCATTGCCAGGACTGCTGCCCTTCACACTCCTCCTCAGTATTGTAGCCAGGGCATTAGGGAAGGAAAGCACATTATAACCAGATAGTTGGGCCCAGGCATGGTGGCCAGATCTGTGATCCTAGCTACATGAGCCTGAGGCAGGAGGGTTGCAAGTTCAAAGCCATCCTGGGCCACATAGGGAGACCCTATCTCAAAATAAAATAGAAACGGCTGGGACAGAACTAGGAAAATGCGACATTAGACTCAGTGTTGCTGAGATGCAGATCCTCCTTCAGCTGTTTTGGAAATTCCTCCAGACCATCAAAACACAGCAGACGGCTAGGGCTCATTGGTAGAACGCTTGCCTAGCATGTGTGAGGCACTGGGTTTGAGTCTTCAGCACTGTATATAAATAAAATAAAGGTCTATTGACAACTAAAAAAAATATTTTAAAAAAAACAAGCAGAACCTTCTATTGAAGTTGACAACCTTTTCTAAATTTATGGAGAGAGTCAAAGGATCTAAAATACCTAAGACATCCTTGTGAAATAGCAAAAGTAAGAGGAACATCTGTCTACTGGATCCCAGTGTTACAGAGTTGGGGCCTTCTGAGAAACTGAGAATCCCCAGTTTTCACAATCAAGTCAGAAAGATTTCAGACATGTCACTCAGAGGAGCAGGAGTTACTCTGAGTTTATTGAAGGGATAAGAAGAGGGAAAAGAGACAGTCTCAAGGGAGAGAGTGAGTGTCTCAGAGAGGAGAGAGGTAGCATACCTCTCATGCACTCCAGTTTTATTGGGATCCCAGGGATGTTGCCAAAGAATCCCACTTTTGACTGATAGCAGGATGACATCAGACTCTCAAGTACCCACTGTCATGGCACCTCTAGGTTACCTTGGCCCAAGCGGACTGGTTCTAATTGGATTCTTTTTTATTTGTATGCTGTACTGAGAATTGAACCCAGTGCCTCACACATGCTTGGCAAGTGCTCTACCACTGAGCCACTACCCCACCCTAATTGGATTTTTTTTTTTTTGGTAGTTGTAGATAAACAGAATGCCTTTATTGTTTTGTTTATTTTGTGTGGTGCTATTGAACCCATTATCTCACATGTGCTAGGCAAGCACTCTACCACTGAGGTACAGCCCCAGCCCTTTAACTGGATTCTTAACCATACATTCCTTTTTTTTTTTTTAACGTTTATTTTTTAGTTATAGGTGGACACAATACCTTTATTTTATTTGTATGTGGTGCTAAGGATCGAACCCAGTGCCTCAGGCATGCTAGGCTAGCTCTCTACCCCTGAGCTACAACCCCAGCCCTTAACCATACATTCTTATAAATTTTGTGGTTAGGAGAAACTACTCTTTTCTCCCAGTTTCAAGTTTTGGTCACAAAATCTTCCCCTTTGGGAAAACTTGGGTTCCTCTTATCAACATTATTTTGGGCCTGCATTTCTCTTGCAGTTAACATGTAGTTTGCTGAGAAATGTGACACAGCTTGTTCATTTCGGCCAGGCAGGGCTGCAAGTAAATTGCTTCATGGAAAAGAGAATACGTGGGGGGGGGTCAGCACAGTGAGCTGACTTGTATTAACCTTGTATTCCCACTCACATATAATTGTCCCCTTAACCTTAACCTTGTATTCCCACTCATCTATAATTATCCCCTAACACCAAGACTTACCGAAGCCTCAGTTATCAAGAGGTGTTGTGGGGCCAGCCCGTGGCTCAGTGGGAGCACACCTGCTAGCATGCATGAAGCCGAAGGTTCCCTCCCCAGCACCACCACACATGAAAAGGTGTGATGTTGCCGTAAAACGGGTAAAGAGATAGGCCCAATAGAAAAGAAAGCACCTAGACAGACAGGGTCAGTAGGTTTTCTACAAAGGTGCCAAGACGGTGTAGTAGGGAAAGGGAAATCTTTCAGCAAATTGTGCTGGAACAGTAGATAGCCATATGCAAAAAATTGACCCTTATAAAACTAGAAAGGATTATAAAAACTCCACGAAGTGTATAAAAACTAGAAAGGGTTATGAAAACTCCACGAAGGAAACATGGGAGAATATTTTAGTGATATTAGATTTAGCAGTAGATAAAGTACAACAAAAAAATATGATAAAGGTGAGAAAAAAAATCAATATATTTATCAAAATTGGAGACTTTTGCTTCAAGAAATTCTTAAGAAAGTGAAAAGATCAGCCATGGACAGTGTGAGATATTTGTAAAACATTTACCTGACAAGGACTTGTTTCTAGAATATATAAAAAACAAATAATTTTATTTCAGAAGTGGGCAAACGATTTGAAGACACTTGACCAAAGAAGACATGCAGCTAGCCAGTTAAGCACCTGAAGTGCTTCATTCACCACCAGGAAAGGAGAAGCACATTGAGATGCCACCACACCCCTATTAGCACAACCAGAGTTGGAGTCAGACTGGTTGGGGATGGAGCTCAGTGGTAGACCATTTGCCCAGAAAGCAGAGGCCCTGGGTTCCATCTCCAGCACTGTGGGGGAAGACAAAACTGGCCTGTCCCAATCCTGTGTTGGTGAGGATGTGGAGGAGTTGTACCACTTTGGAAACCACTTTGATAGTTTCCTAAAAAGACAAACCTACACCACACCAATTACCAGCCTTTCCGTTCCTAGGCATTTTCCCACAGGAGCCTGAACCTGAGCATTCAGAGCAGCTTTATTTGTAATCACTGAGCTTAGGAAACAAAGCACATGTCTCTCAGTAGGTCAGTACACTAACAAGCTTTGGTCTAGCTGCTCGGGTTAAAAGCACACTGACACCACATAATGACTCAGAATGAGTCAGAGAGGAGGAAGTGCTGGCGACTGCTCTTATGTAAAACCCTGGAGATATAGGCTGACTTATTGGGCATGAGGAGGATTGAAGTCCTGGGGAGGCCAGCCGGTATTGGGCTGACCAGCATGTTCACTGTCCAGTGGTGTGCGCTTCATAGGTACACGTATGGATCACGCTGAATGTGCCTAATGACGCGCTCAGGCCAGTGTAGCCCCACCTGGGCTCCATCTCAGTTGAGACTACCCCCAGGTACTGGCCCATAAGGTGCGAGCTCCCTGCAGGAGGAGCCACTGTGTCCCTTCACTTAAACCTGTTTTGCTCTTTTCCTAGGAAGAGGAAATAACTCAGGAAGAAATTGATGTCCTCAGTGACGCTTGCTCCAAGCTGCAGGAGCAGAAGTCATCTCTGACCAAGGAAAAGGAGGAGCTGGAGCTGCTGAAGGAGGACGTCCAGGACTACAATGAGGTGGACAGGATGGGTGGGCGTGGTGGGGCAGCTGCTCCCCCGTGACATCAGGGGTGGGTAGGGTTTGCTGCTAAGGCTGAGACTGAAATAATAGCTTTATCAGCCAAAAGATTTAATGATATCTGTCAAAGATGTGATAAGGGAAATTTCAGAGGGAATCTGAAATTAGTTTTATTCCAGAGCTTTTCCACGGCTGCTGTAGGTGCCACTGTCTGCGTGAATGTAGCCTTGCCAAGTCTGAAAATGAAGGTGTCACATGGCCACTTGGCCCCTCGACAGGCAGAACCTTAATTTCATTCACAACTCCCCCCAAAGAGAGTGGAGCCCAGGGTGCTCTACCACTGAGCCACATCCCCAGACCTCTTTTTATTTTGTATTTTGAGACAGACACTCTAGCCTTGTGTTGCTGGGATCACAGGTGTGCACCCAGCACCCAGTTGACGGTTTTCTTTTCTTAGATAGTGGTTCTTTTTCCCTCTTCCTTTTATGGTACTAGGGATCAAACTCAAGGCTACCAAGTGCTCTACCACTGAGCAACATCCTACATCAACCAGTGGTTGGTTTATAGATATTACTTTCTAATCTGATGTAAAAAAATTATTTTCACAGCTTCATTGGGAAAGGTAACAAGTTTTGAGATTAGTAAAAACCAATTTGCCATTTAGGAGCACCGTCCCTCTGGGGGGCTTCTCCATGGGAACCATGCATCTGTCACTGGGTGAGATGGTGTCTTGTTCCCATTCCACTCTTCGCTCCTGTCCCTCCTTGGGGGGCACTGAATTAGAATTTCAGGGGGAAACACTTAGGTTTCCTCAATGCTTCATTTCTTTTATTCTTCAGCAAATATGAAGGAAGATGAGTTTCAAAAAATAAGAACCAGCCAGATGTGGTGGCACACTCCTGTAATCCCAGCGGCTCAGGAGGCTGAAGCAGGAGGATTGCAAGTGCAAAATCCCAGCCTCATCAAAAGTGAGGCGCTAACCAACTTACTCAGTGAGACCCTGTCTCTAAATTTAAAAAATATAAAATCGGGGTAGGGATGTGGCTCAGTGATTGAGTGCCCCTGAGTTCAATCCCTGGTTTAAAAAAAAAAATTATTTGATTGGTAGGAAGGAATAAGATTTTGCAACTTTCTGTTGTTGTATAATGAATGCATTTTTGGAGGAGTTGGTATTTATTTTTGCAGTGCTAGGGATCAAATTCGTTGTCTCATAGGTGCTCTACACCCCTAGCCCAAATGAATGGATTTAATGACTTTTTCAAGTTAAATTTAATATAAGATCCCCACTTTTTTATTTATTTTGTACTGATTTTAACCCAGGAGTACTTTACCACTGAGCTACTTTCCAGCCCTTTTAATGTTTTGAGATAAGACCTCACTAAGTTGCTGGGCCTGCCCTGGAACTTATAACCCTCCTCCCTCAGCCTACTGAGTCGCCTGGACCACACAGGTGTGGTCACCATCGTGCCCAGCTCCCGCCCCCACCTGCCTTAAAGATAGACTTTATAACTGCAAATAATTTTTTTAGGACTTGCAAGAGATCAAGAAGGAGCTTTCTAAGACCGGTGAAGAAGAATTAGTGGAAGAATCTAAAGCCAGCAAGAGACTAACAAAGCGCGTGCAGCAGATGATTGGGCAGATCGATGGCCTGATTGCACAGCTAGAGACGGGTCAGCAGGCCGGCAAGCTGGGCCCTGCCCAGGGCTCAGCTGTGGGGTAAGTGGGCATGAACAGAAGAGGCTTCTGGGCCCAGGGAGGCCAAGCCTGCAGCTGACAGGCACTTTGCTATGATCTGTGCTCTGTCCTTTCTGACTCCAGAGTATACATCTTGGCTCTGCCTGATATCACCTGGGAGCTGGGGTCCACTCTGGGGGCATCTTTGCTCATAGTTTTTTCTTTCACACCTGAGTTTTTACATTCTGATGCTATTTCACCTGGGTAGCTTACTCCTGGACCTGTTACCTCCCTGCTGATGTCCCCCTACTGCTTTCCCCAGCATTACCCTTCATAGTCCAGCCTCAGCCCCATTCGGTTTCTGTTTGCCCAAACAGTCAAGCTCTCTCCTGCCTCCTCCCTCTCTCTGACCCCCACACTCAAGGGATGCCATCATGGGGCTGTCTGCCTTGTACCGCAGTGTATTCCAGATTCCTGCAGCCGCAGCTGTGCTTGTGTGTGTGGCTTGCTACCATCTAGACCACAGACCCTGCGATACAGCAGGCTGGTAGCTGGGACACACCCCTGAACCCAGAGGCTCATCGACCTTTTGTCCTTGTGGCAGACAGGGGCCCAAGGACCCAGTGGTCCTGTTCCAGGCATGCACTCCAGGGTCATGCACCCCAAGGAAAGGGCGGGGCTCTTGGCAGGGTGTGAGGAATCTCACTATCAGAGGTCTTTCCTGTCCGCCAATTCACACTTGGCCAATTCACACGTGGCCATCAGAGTCAGGGCTAAGAGTCTGAGCTGGGTGTGGCTGTGAGGTTCCAAGGGCAGGGCAAGGTGGTGGCCACATGCAGGCTGTGCTTCCCAGGGAGAATGTTGTCAGCGTCACTGAGCTCATCAGCGCCATGAAGCAAATCAAGCACATTCCAGAAAGCAAGCTGGTGAGCTTGGCCTCAGCACTGGATGAAAACAAGGATGGCAAGGTCAACATCGATGATCTCGTCAAGGTGGGTCTCAGTGGGACTGAATCGGGCAGGGTGGCTGGCTGCTCTTCTGCTCCAATGTCCACAAGTCCAGGGAGGGGCTGCTTTTGGGGGCTGTCAGGAGGTGGGGTCCCTCAGGCCTTGGCATAGGAAGTGAGTTGCCAGAGGTAGAAAGTGCTGATGAAACAGCAAGATGGACCCTCCTGAAGGCCCTGAGGTCGCCTGTCATGACCATGACTTGGCTGGCTATGACAGGTGGCAGTGTCCAGGTCCAGGAGAGGGTATTGAGAAGGCCCCTTTAGAGCAGGCCACCTGCCGTGCCTGTGGGACCCTGGGCCTGGCTGGGCTTTGGTCCAGGAAGCCAGGAGCTAATCCTAGAAAAGGACACCAGCCACATTCCAGGCTGGCAGTGTCTGCCTTTCTTGCTCCACCCACAGTGTGGAGCTTGCACCTGTGGCAAGCAGGGTAGTGGGGCTGAGTACACCCGTCTGGGGTTGCCTGAGGCCTGAGAGGTGACAACAGGTGGGCCCCAGGTCAGCCCTGGAGACCTGGATGGGAAGTCTGGGTTCTCATCTGAGGGGTGAGACTTAATCATTTCTGCTTCTGAAAAAACACTGCCTTCATGGTCCTGGTGCACCTGGCAAGGTAGTGATTTTTCAAACATAACCATAGACATTGCCGACTTTCTTTTACTTCCATTTAAAAGCAAGGCACTGTCAGACTTACATGCTAAGCACCGTCCCTCCTTCCCTCCTTAGTCTTCACAGCAGAGGGGCATGTGCCCCAACCTAGCACCCTATGTTCTGGGGAAGCCCCATGCAGGGTAGGCCCCCAGCAGTATGGTGGGGCCTCGCTGGCCAGGGCAGGGCTTGATGTCAGCAGCCTTGCTCTGCTCTCTGGCTCCCCGGGGAACCCTGGTGCTCTGGGGCCCTGGCATGCTGTGCAACAAGTAGGTTCCAAACCAGAAGATGGCCTAGGCCATCTGTGCAAGAGCAGGCAGCCCCTCTGAGCCCTCTCGTGTGCGCAGGTTATCGAGCTGGTGGACAAAGAAGATGTCCACATCTCCACTAGCCAGGTGGCTGAGATTGTGGCCGTGCTGGAGAAGGAGGAGAAGGTGGAAGAGAAGGAGAAGGCCAAGGGCAAGGCTGAGAAGGAGGCTGCAGAGGTGAAGAACTAAGGGAGGTGCCGAGCTCACACACAGCCCCATGGGCGTCCTCTTCCTCCCGCACCACTGCGGTGGGATGATGTGAGAGTGATTGCTTTGACGTGATCTTAGTGGCAGATCTAATATTTTGTCTGGAATAAGTCAGAAACTTCCGTAATCAAGTTTAATTTTTAATTTTCATCATTCCATGAAGATTAAGTCAGTCTGCAATCTGGGAGCCTCCAGGGAGTTGTGTCTGGACTCATCTAGTGTAGTACTCAGTGGCCCCACAGAGGCCACCGACAGTCGCAGCAGGGGCGCCTCCCTGCACGTGCCTGTGCCATCTCAGGGCCTGACCTGTGCTCTCTGTTCCCTGAGAGTGAGGACCATGTGGACTCCCAATGCCCAAGTAGAACTGCACGGATGCACCTCATGTTTTCAGAGGTGCTGGGCAAGAATCAGACAGGAGCACAGCCCTCCTCAGCTCTGAAGATCCTTCAGCTGGTCTGTGAACTTTGATTCCTAAAAATCTGTGTAAATAGATCGTCTGTTCCCGCATTTTCAGAGTCATCTTTGTGTGACTCTTCTCAACAGAAGCGTCTGTGACTTCAGTGGCCTCTGGAAGTAGCGCCTCTCCTGACAGTAGTGCCCATGTCTTGAGTGGATCCTGGGGTGTGTTTCCTGAGCTTGCACTTGAGAGTCTGACTCAGGAGTAACATCCAGAATGAAGTGCGGGGGAGACACACCAGTGCAGCCCTTGAGAAGGAATCATTTGCCAGGTGATTGCCACACTGTTGGGTCCAAGGGTTAGGCCTTCACCACAGCCTGGCTGGAGCAGGTTCTGGCTGGAGCACATGTGGGGCCCTTGATGGCTTCCCTTGTGAAACAAACCCTGCCCGCTGGAGGACCTGGCTGGAGGGGCCATCGCCCACAGCTGGCCTCCTGGGCCAGGGCACCCAGATGGTCTCTGCACTTCAGCCTTTGCATGGCCCCACCAAGTCCTTATGAAGGTGGTCATGTGAGTGAGCAGTGGCATCTTGAGGGGCTTGCAGTGTGCCCCCCATGTACTTAGGGGCTGGGTGGTGTCTCCAGGGCTCTGGTGGCCAGCAGCCTCTTCACACTTGATGGCCCTGTCAGGGACAGTTCCATGTGGGCAGGCCAGAGCTGGGTGTCCTGTGGCCTCTCCACCTTCCTGCTCCCCCAACAGCTGCACTTGTCCTTTGAGGCTATGCGTTGCCAGCAAGAGTGTCCTTCTGGAGGGCTCCAGACATAGGACCCATGAAGCCAAGCTAGCCAGGGAGGGGGTTGCAGCACTCGGAGATGTCAGTTTCTCAGTTACTTGGCTTTTTCCTTGGCCTTTAAAGAAGAAACTTGACAGAATAGGAATCCGATTGTACAGTCTCACCTGGAGACAGTCAGAAGCCATGGGGCTCTGAAGGGCTTGGTTTCAGGCGTTGGAGAAGGGAGTGTTTTAGCCTTGGGGTGATCTTTATGAGTCACCTGCCCACACTCCAGCAGCCTCTGAGCTGTCAGTGTCCTTCCTTTTGAGGACAAGCTCTGGTTGCCAAATATGCCCCACAGGAGGGACGTCTTTCCTGTGAGCAGCACTACGGACCCATCAGCTGTATCCTCGTCCTGCGTGGCTTTGCCAGTATTGTCATCCCCTCTGCTCTGGAGTCTGCCCTCCCTGGTCAAGCAGCGCCTCGGGATGTGGGCGCGCCTCCAGGTGCCATTCGGACCTGCGTGGTGGCACACGTATGGGTGGGAGGTTCTGGTGGGTGCACATGCGGTGTTTGCAGGCCCTCTCCCCAATGCCATTCTGGATGTGTTTTGTTGTACGGAATCATTTATTGTAGCCAAGTCGGTGTCTGGGTGTGGTTGTAAGGAATGATGGATCCAGAAGCCAGGGCCTTGTATGATGAGGACCTGCCATGGTGGTTGTGTCTAGCTGTCCATAGGTTGTGCCTGCCCTGCACCTGAGCACTCCACCTTCCTGTGTTTCCTGGAGCTGGGGTGTCCATGCCTGTGAAGCAGAGTTCCCAGCACAGCAGTTTGACGTGCCCTCCTCACGCCCTACACACCCACTTCTCATGCAGGCACTGGGAACCCGTGTGTGGCATCCGGAGGCCATTGAAATATCACAGTGTAGCTTTTTAAACGTGAAGGGCACCATGTAATTTCTGAAAAGCAGCCCCCAGGTGGTTCTTATTGTGCCCCTGGCCAGCAGGGTGGTTCCTCCTGGGAACGCAATGGGGGAGCAAGTTCTCTGTCATCCTTTCAGGGTCCCATGGGYCCCCAGCTGGGGTTCTGTGTAAACACCTTTTGTAGAAATGGTATTCTTATTTTATTAAAACATCAAGGCTGTGCTCCTGTAATATTTCTGAACCATTTGACATAAGTCAGATGGAAACTCAGCCGTCTTAAGTGTCTGCCTTCAGGACGGCACTGTGGGCCCAACACTCAAGTTTCCAGAGGAGCCTTTGTCCTTTGAGGCTGTGTCCTTTGAGGCCCTGGATTCAGGCCTCTTCCTTGTGGGACCTCTTAGACCCATGTCCCCTTGTCTTATGACACTGACAGGTTATGTGGTGATGTTTCAGACACCATTCGATGTGAGGAAATGATATAATAAAGTGCCACTTGATGATTGTCTGCTGTGGGCTGGTTTGTCTAGGTTGGTGAACTCACTGCCTAAGGAAGCCTTCCCCAACCCACAGACCTCAGGGAGTCAGTCCTGAGAGCCAAGGCACCCTGCACCCAGATTGTTCCTGGCTGAGACTGGTGGTCCTGGTATCCTGAGTGGGTGAGGGCTGGACCATTTCGAGGGGTGCTCCAGGAGGATCAAGGGGCCCAACCCTACCCAAGGGGATCCCCAGGAAGGTGGGGGCAGTCTTCACACTGCAGCCCCATCTTTAGATCCCTACCCTGGGGTGGCCTGGCAGGGGGAAGGTCTCGGCACCCCACCCCGAGCTCAAGGGCATCAGCCTATCTCAGCATTTACACTTGGGTCCACTGCTGGGGGCCTCCCTAGACCCCTTGGCCCTGGGGTCTGTGTCCTGGGACACAGCCTGAGCTGGACAGCCTTGGGCACCACAGGAGAGTTGTCCAGGGACAAAGCCTGGGCCGGAGCCTATTTGTACACCATTATGAATCATCCCAAGTCCAGGGACCACAACAGGGCACTAGGATTCAAGAAGTGCCTGTTCTGGGGCTGGGGTGGGCTGTGTTTGCTGGTGGACATCAACCCAAGGAGGAAGCAGCCAGCACAGAGGGCGTCAACTGCAGCAAAGACACAGTGACCCAAACAAGGTGAGGGCCAACAGTGGGTGGCAGGCAGGGGTTCTTGAGAAAAGAATGTGCTTCATGTGCCTGGTCGGGGTGACACTAAGAACAGGACCTTCATGCAGAACACAGTGACCTCCCAGCCTTCTGGGGAGGCTCATTAGCCAAGAATTCTAGCTGATGGCCCTGGGAACCCGAGATCCACCCCAGCCCTGAGAAATGGACAGCCACAGGGCTGCCTGCAGTGCTGGGAGCCTTCCTGTTCCCAGCACTGGCCTGAGCAAATCTTGCAACTGCAGGGGCCACCAGCCATGTTCAGAAGGCATAGCTTTCATCAGCAGAAAGCAAGGGACTGTTCTAGACCAGAAGAGGCCAGCAAGGCAGCAAAAAGGGGTTCCTTCACTGGGCAGAGGTGTCCACAGGAAGCTTCATGACTGTCTAGTGCCCTCCTTCTGCGGCCAGCAGTGGTGTGAGTCACCTGAGCAGGCTCCTGGCCTGCCCCAACTCCCCTGGCCAGCCCCCTTTCCCAAGAGCCTATGGGGTTCACCAGGGCACAGGCTGGAGAGAGGCCTCAGGGCAGCAACAGGGTGCAGTGCAGCACCAGGGGGCGCCCCACTCACATTCTGCCTGCCCAGGCAAGAATGCTAAGCCCAGCTGGGGGACAGCACTGCCTCTGGCCCAAGCCCACCTGGCACCCCCTCTCTGCTCTCCAGGCTGGAACTTCAGCAGTCCTCCTCCAGTTGACCTCTGCTTCCCAGTCCTGGTCAGTCCAAGGTGTCCCCATGGCCAGTCCAGTGTCCTTGTTCCCAGCATGGGGTCTCTGGACAGGGCTCTGGGGGGTTGGAGGATTGGCTCTCCTTGTGAGGTCACTGGCAGGCAGCCTGCCCCCAGACTACAGTGCTTCCCTGAATCAGACCCAAGACCAAGTAGCCTCACCTATCCAGCTCCCTCATCTGGAGGGCCCACTTGGACCAGCAGAAAGCAGAGCCTGAGAGAGAGTGCACCAGCTCAGCTCCAGTGCATCTAGGGCCACCATCTGACCTAGACCAGACAGTGGGGGATGGGCGCAACAGCCCTCTCCTGTCTCCTCTAGGAAGGTTTCCCAGGCTTACTCCCCACTTGTGGGTAGCCCTGTGTACCCCAGTTGTCAAGGCCCACCAAGCAGCAACAAGGGGTCCTGACTTAACAGGCTCCTGGGGACTCAGAAGCAGCCCAGGTGTTCTCTGGCCAGGGAGCTGCCCAACCAGCTGAGGCCAGAAGCACGGCTTCAGCCAAAGTAGTCACTGCAGGGTCACAGGGTCATGGCACCAGTGGAGCCCTGGTGGTGGTGGGTAGCAGGCCTGGACCAGGAGGGAAGGTGGTCAGGAATAGGGGTGTGGCCACCGGTGTGTAGGGTTTAAATCAAGAGGCTCATCTACATCTTTAGTGGGAACCCACATAGTGAGTGGGGTGATGCGGGACAGGCCTTAGCAGCTAGTGCCTAGACATAACCCCTGGACCCATAGCCCTCAGGAGGGGTGGCAGCCAGGGAGCTCGGCAGAGCCAAAAAGCTTCCTCCTCACATCCACCAGGGCCCCTCCTGAAAATTCCAACTTGCCTGAAGCCTCCTTGCTCTTGGAGCCTCCAGACCTCCCGTGGCCTGAGGTTCTGCTGGCTGGGGTCAGGTCCCATTCCCCAAGACACACTGGACACTATCACCCTGGCTTTACCCAGGACTCACATCTCCAGGTGTGGGAGCCAGAAGCCTGGGCTGCAGACCCTCTAAAAGCATGGCCTGGATGGCCAGGCCCCTCAGCCTGAGGAGACCCGCACCTCCATCTGGGGACCACCCGGGCTACTACTGTTCCCTCAGTGGCTAGTGGGCCCTCCCTCGCTTGGGAACAAAGAACAGAACCTGTCCCTGACAGGAAGTAGGACAGAGCTGCCAAGATCTCAACAGAAGGCAAGAGGCACAGGCAGGGACCAGGACCAGGCCTTTCTCTTTATTGTCTGGAAAGTATATCTGCTGGTTGACAATCACTCCCCAGTATGAGCCACACCTCTGACCACTGCAGCAGGCCCTGAGCCACCAGCGACCAGCAAGAGGCAGCCACCCAAGCTTGGGGCCCATTAACAGTACACAAAGTAACAGAACTGAATTCACGGCTTTCTCTCCCCTAAGCTCTGAAAGGTAGCAGTCCAGGCTGTAAAAGTCTAGAAGCATTGCATAAGAAGTGTTAAGTCTACAGCAGATACATCTTGTAAAAACTCAATAAATTACATATATAGATATATATAAACTGTAGCATCTAATAACATCTGAACCTGCAAGCAGGGCCAGCCCCCGCCCCCCACCCCCGGAAGTGGCCCCCACCTGGAACATGCAGCCATTGGAATCTGTATGAAAATACCAGCTCGCTTTGAAGTACAAAAAATAAATCTCCTAGAGAAAGCCCCTATAGAAAGCTAGTTCCCCTGCAAAGGAGGCCAGAGGAAACACCAGCTCAAGGAGGTCCTCTGGCCGACTGCCGTCGAGGCTCAGCCTCCTGTGCAGCTGCACGTGCTCCTGCAGCCTGGTAACTTGGCTAAGCCTTGGCTGTTAATAAGTTAAGACTTTACTCTCTGCCATGTGCTGGCTAAATGCTGTGAACATGGGTGGGGTGCAAGGGTTCTGGGGGTTGATAAATAGCTTTACAAATATACAGGGTCCAAGTACAATTTTTAAAACAAAACTGCGGTGCCAGAAAAGCCTGCTGCTCCMCTGTGTTGCATCTGCCTCCCGAACAAGCCTCAAGGGGCCTCCCCCATCAGGCAATGCCCCCGTACCCCGCAGCATTCCTTCCCTCCACACAGATACTCTTACAGGTATGGATGTATATATATCATATACACAGCATCTATTTATATAAATGTACACTCATTTCTGGAATAAAACTTTCGGATAGAAGGCAGAGGCTCCCACCTTCGGATACCCGTAATTTCAGTCTTGGAGGGGCAGGGTGGGAAGTGGGGAGGCCTGGAGGTGGGGAAGCTGCCACTCACCCCCAGGCACAAGGTGCCACTCAGGAGGCTTGCCACAGAGGGCATCCCCGCAGCTCAGCTTTGGGCACTGGAGGGCCTGAGGCCCACTGTGGACACTGGGTCCAGCCTGGCCTGTGGTGCTTCTTATGGGGTGGTGGTGAAGGACCAGGCACTCTTACATTCCATATTTGGTCCCCCAAAACAAGGGTCCCTTGGTGCTCCTGGCAGTGGTGAGTCAGGAGATCACTGTATAGCAGCGCAGGCCCCAGGAGACCTCTGCACCTGGGGGCCGCCAGACACACACACACACACACACACACACACACACACACACACACACACACGAACTATCTATGTCCATCTGCCCATCCACCCTGGGTTTGGGCCCAGGTCCACTGTACACCAGCAGCAGCACTGTAGGCTGGGATCCACTCTCACATTGATGGGGCTTGGCCTAAGGGCCAAGGGCCCTTCACGTCCGAGGGCCCACATTGCTGGGTGGGGCCGGGGGCAGCAGGTCATGGGTAAACACAGAGTCGTCCCCTGAGGAGCTGGAACTGGGGGTGTCTTGGCCACCTGGCGAGTACTGCTCAAAGGGCACTGACAGGTCCAGGTACTCCTGCCAGGAATGGAACCAGTCAGTGTTGTGTCCTGCATGAGCCCCACCCCAGCTGTGCTCAGGCTATCCCCAAGGACACTCCCAAGGGGAAGCAGAACAGCCACATCGGGGACAGAAGGGGGCTGGCACTCACATCAGTGGACGTCACAGTGAGGATGCGGTCCAGGTCCTCAACTAGTTGTTTGAAGGTAGGCCTCTGGGAGGGCACTGCGTGCCAGCACTCACGCATGATCATGTACCTAGGGACAAGGCTGCTCAGGCCCAGCCCCTCAGCCTGGTCCACCTTGCAAACACAGGGCCACCAGCCCCCCACCCACCACAGGAGCTGCGCCCAGGCCCTAGCAGGAACCCCCAGGGGCCCGTGGAGTATGCTGTGCTCACAGGTCGTGTGTGCAGTTGGCTGGCCTGTCCATGCGATGGCCCTCCTTCAGCAGCTTGAAGAGCTCCTCCACGGGTATGCCGGGGTACGGCGAGCCCCCCAGGGTGAAGATCTCCCAGAGCAGGACCCCAAAGGACCAGCTGCAGAAGTGAGACAAGCCAGTCTGCCCTACGATCCCAGAGCCCAGTCCGTCAGCAGCCCCACCCCAGCACCTGCCACCAGGGACTACAGGGCCCAAGGGCCGAGGGGAGGCGGCTGAGCAAAGGAGTGCAGAGCGCACTGCCCCAGGGCTGTGTGGGAAGCACCCGAGTCTGCTCTGTCCCTGGCTCCCTGCTCCCCCTAGGCGCACATACACATCACTCTGGTGGGTGTAGACCCGATCAAACAGGGCCTCGGGGGCCATCCACTTCACCGGCAGCCGGCCCTAGGAGCACAAGAGCAGGTGTTGGCTGCCAGGCACCTCTGGCTCCAGCCCCCGCCCACCCGGGGCCAGGCTCACGTTGGTGGTCTTCTTATAGTAGTCGAGGTTGTGCACATCACGGGCCAGGCCAAAGTCGGCTATCTTCATCACGTTGTCCTCAGTCACCAGCACGTTGCGGGCAGCCAGGTCCCTGTGGATGCACTGGAGCAGGGGCCAGGGATGAGCAGAGCCTTCTGGCATCTCCTCGCCTCTGCCCCGCTGTGCGATGCCCTGGCCTGGGTCTCCACCCCAGCAGGTCTGTCACCCTCCCCTCGGCCCAGAAGGCCTGTGCCTCCTGCCCACTCACCTTCTGGGATGCCAGATACTCCATGCCCCGCGCCACCTGGTAGGCACATGACACCAGGTCCTTGAAGGTGAGCTGTTCCTCAGGCAGCCTGCAGGTGTGGAAGGAGTAGTCCATGCCCGGCGGCCTCCGCGCCCGAAGGTACTCCCTCAGGTTGCCCTTGGCCGCGTACTCCACCAGTACGTACAGAGGCCCTGCAAGCACAGGGCCTCAGAGGGGACACCAGGCCCAGGGAGGGTGCCGCCTGCCCTGTCCAGCCGGCCCCTCACCTACCGCCCTGCGTGCAGGCCCCCAGCAGGTTGATGATGTTCTTGTGCCTCCCAATCATCTTCATCATCTCCATCTCCGATACCAGGTCCGACAGGTCCTTGTCAGTGGCATCGTCTGTCCCGAGAGGTGGGGTGTCAAGCAGTGGCGCCCACAGCCCACCCAGGTGCCCCTTGATGTCTCCATTCTCACCTTTCAGCATTTTCACCGCCACTGTAACGGGTCTGGCAGCACGGTCCTTGTCGATGCCAATGGCCTCTGCCATGACCACCTGGCCAAAGCAGCCCTCTCCAAGAGGCTTGCCCAAGGTCAGTCTGGAAGCAGAGAGGCTCTGAGGGTGCACCCTGGCCCAGCACAGCCTTCAAGGCCTGGCTTCGCCTCCAGAAAGCCTTCCAGCCTTATCCTGTGCCCTAGCTCCTGAGACTAGGGCCGCACCCTCAAGCTTCTTGCCCTGTGCCAGGCCCTTCACATACACACCCTGAGACCCTGAGAGGTCTGGGTCTTCCACCTGCATCAACAGCTGCCCTGTTTTCAAAAGCCACTGTGCCCAGCCCAGTTCCAGCCTAAAGTCAATCGGGCCTCTACACAGTGATTGTCCCACCACCCAGCACAGAACCCCTGCCAGGCCCAGGCATCTGCACGTCATCCCTCACCACCACTGACCGGGCACGGGACAGCTCCCATTTGGGGTCGGCAGGTAACTCAAGCTCAGAAACATTAGCCAGCGTGGGACCTTCTCCCGAGGACAGCCGGGCAATGCGGACCAGCGGTGTGTTGGAGTTCATGGACGAGTTGGACTCCAAGGACACCTGCTTGGGTCGGTAAAGGCAGGTTGGTGGGGGGCCAGAGGGGGTCGGGGAGGACAGCCCCAGGGACAGCAAGGCCAGGGCAAAGCAGGCTCGGCTCTGGGAGCTGGGGCGGCAGCAGCTCAGAACCTGGTATCTACTTTCTGTTACCTGTCGTTTGAGCGGGAAGCGGGAGACCGTGTGCACAGTGGGGGAGCCCAGCCCCTTCTTGGGAGGGCTGCGCAGGCGGCACAGTGTTACAGCTGCCACCAGCAGGATGAAGAGGAAGAAGCCCACCCCGTAGCTGAGGACGCCTGCATACACGCTGCCAGCCTCGTCCGCCTCCACCAGCTCCTCCTCCGCTGCAAAGACACCGGCGTTGGGGCCTGGCCCAGCCTCCCAGGAGCCCCAGGGCCAGAGCCACAGCTCCAGTGGGGTAGGCAGGGCTCAGCCCCCAGGGGGACCAGAGCTAGGGACCGAGGCCTCCATGGCCCCACAGGCCCAAATGCTGCAGTCAGAACGTCTGTGGAGTCAAGAGGCCCAGACCCAGGACGGAAGCAGCCCAGCAGAGCAGCAGCACCACTGTACCCAGCACCCGGAAATGCTGAAGCCAGAGCAGGGCAGGGGGACCTGGGGGTGCAGGGGAGGCCCAACGTGGGCCAGGACGGGCCAGGTTGATGTTCCCAGGCCAGGAACCAGGCCGGGCATGAGGCCTGCATGTGGTGGGCAGCCGCAGGCAGGGCCCTGCCCCACCCTGCAGCTCTGGCTTATCCTGAGCCAGCCCAAGGACAGGTGCGAAGCCATTAGCAGCAGTAGCAGGTACCTGGCAGCACCGCCAGCCACGCAGAGTGATGGGAAAACCCGATAGAATTGCCCGCCAGGCAGGTGTACTCCCCCGCGTCCTCAAAGGTGACATTGCGCAAGGATAGAACCTCTAGCTCCTTGTCGGTGGTGTTAGCGCCCGCCGTCTATAAAGAGAGAACAGAGCGATAGGCGAGCGCCAGCACCGCCCACGGGCACCGCAGCAGAGTCCACACAGCGACGATCCAGCCAGGCTGCAAGGAAAACACTGCCACCACCACTTGGCCACCACCACGGCCGGCCACGGCCACGGCCACGGCCCAGGGCCCTCCGCCTCGTGCTCTGGCACTGGCATGGAGCCTGAAGCCAGTCCCTCCACCGGCGAGTCCTCTGTCCCAGCTGAGCGTCAGGCAGGCGGGCAGCATGGCACCGCTCAAAGGCAGCATGCAGGGTTAGTGCAGAGAGGAGAGGTGCAGATGGAAGACAGGTGGACAGGCAGATAGACAGACGGACAGCAGAAGGCGAGCAGGCAGAGTCGGTGGCCAAAGAGTGGCCAAGAGTGGATGTTCCGCGTGGGGCTCAGCCCCTGACAGGCTCTGAGGACCTTCTGGGGGTGCACATCAGGTACAGGAGGGGTCAGCACAGGCCAGGAGTCTGAAGCCAGCATTCACAGTCGTGGGCCTGGGCTGCCAGCGTTGCCAGGCTGGCCACAAGCAGAGTGCGGCCATAAGGTGGAGGGAGCAGGAAGGGACGTGCAAGGGCGTGCAGGCAGGCACAGGGCCGGGGCGTTGGAGCTGGAGCTCGGTGTGCCAGGCAGGCGTGGGACAGAGTTGTTACCTGCTCGGGGCCCATGAACACGCAGCCAAAAGGCCTTCTCGGCCACGCCTATGAAATTGGTGGCTCGACAGAGGTACTCGCCCCCGTCCCTCTCCGACACATTGGCCAGGCGGAGGCGCGCGTCCGCCTCCACATTCTCACTGATCCAGGACTGCGGGGACAAGAGACCTGGCTCAGGCACACCCCAGGAAGCCCAGCTGGACACCAGGCAGGAGGCAGAAGAGCCCCAAGGAAGGCAGGGGATGGGGCTGCGCCATCCCGCGGGCTGCCTAGAGGAGGCGCCAAGACCCACAGGTGATGGGCTGTGGCTTCACAGGATGCGCCTTCTCCATATCCAAACTTCCACCCAGAGCCCAGACCCCTCAGCCAGCCCCCGCCTAGGCCCAGAGTGTTGGCTGGGCCCAGGGCACACACGCTCCTGAGGGCACACATGCTCCCACATGCCCACGCCACGGGACAGGGCCCCACAGCCTGTCCCAGCTCTCTGGACTCTGGCTCCAGTCCTGCTCCAAGTGCCGCCCCACCCCCACAGGCCGCTTGTCTCTGAACAGAGGTTTCTCTTTGGGCTTCCAGTGTTGCAACCATCCCCATTCAGGTGGCCCCCACCCCGCAGCCATGGGAACCAAGCTAGGGCAGGGAAAGGCAGCGGGTGGCGAGCGGTGCCACACCACGCGGCTGGCAACAGCCACCTGGGCCAGCTCTGGGAGTGGCTGTCCAGGTGTGAGGTCCTCGAGGGTGCTGGGAGGTTCGGCAGCTGCCTCTTGCCCTGGGCCACCATCACTGTCACCTGAGCTCAAGCCTACCCAGAGGCCTCCTGCCGGCCAGCTCCAAGCTGTGGGGCTCCAGAGGGCTGAGGCCAACCCAGAGCAAACAGGGCCACAGGCTCCAGTGTGGCCCTGAGCCCCACCTTCCTCCAGAGGCTCCCACCCTGGCCGAGCCCCCATGGCGGTGCCCACCTTGAGCACGGTGACGTAGGGCGTGCCGTCAGGGCCCACCTTGCTGCCATTCACCTCCACATGCTTGAGCCACTGGATGTGGGGCTGTGCGTCACTGTACACCTTGCAGTGGAACTCCACGTCGCTGCCCAGCACGGCTGTCTGGTTGGCTGGCAGCCCCGCCTGCAGGATGGGCCGGTGCGGGGAGCGCTCTGCAGAGGGGTCAGCAGGCTGGTCAGGGGCTCGGCTGCCCTGGCTGGCTGCCACCCAGCCAAGTCCCAGGCCCGGCTGGCCTTACCCAGCACGTCCAGAGTGTACGTCTGCCGGATGCTGCCAAACTTGTTCTCCACCACACACGTGTAGTTGCCGCGGTCGGAGGGCACCACGCTCTCCATGACCAGGCTCCACTGCTGATGACGCAGCTGCAGGTGACAGGGGACCGGCTGGTGAGCAGCAGCAGCAGGCCCTGTCCTGCCAGGCCCCCAGACCTGCCTTGGGCCCACCTTGATGCCCCCAATGCGATGCTCCCCTCTGAACTCCTTGCCATTTTTCAGCCAGGAGATGGAAGGAGTGGGGTTGCCAGCAGCTGGGCAGCGGAAGCGAACCGTGTTGGCAGCCGGCACTGCCAGCAGTTTCTTGTCCATCCGCTCTGGCCGAGTCCAGTAAGGGGCCCCTGTGGGTGCAGGTGGATGTGAGGCCACAGTGGAGGCAGGGAGATGAGGTCCACCTCACTCCTTCCAAAGCTGGCTCCTGCTAAGCCTCTAGCCTGTTTCCCCTCCTGTTTGGGGTGTGCTGGCCTTTCAGGGTCCTCCTTGTGGACTGGACACCCTCAGACTGGGCCATGTCTATTCCATGCAAGAGGCTGCTCTTGCTGAGAGGCTCTGGCCTGGGGGCATGTCCAGGGAGGCCCCTACCAGGAGGGCACATTGGGATAGGCAGCCACCTGAGGGAGGCCCAAGACCCAGCCAGCAGCCCAGCAGGCCCTGAGCCCTGGGACATGGTTTCTAGGAGGAGGAAATGGAGTATGCAGAGCAGGGGAAGCAGCCAGGCCATATCAGCCCCCAGGCCTCTGCCGGGTCTGGCAAGGATGGCAGTCTGGAGGTTCTGCTCCTCCCTGCCTTGGTGCCCAGGGCCACTGCCACCACCTCCAACCCCCACTGGGTTTTCTCCTTCTCTGGGAGGGGGGTGGGGGCACGGGTGCTGCCTTCTCGTCCAGACCCATTAGGATGCTGGGCCTTGCCCCCCACAAGGGAGGCAGCAGGTCCTGGACCAAGGAGGGAGGTGACTGCTGCTCACAGGGACCTCACTGCTGTCTGCCCCAGGGACACACCTTGTACACGCACAGCTGCCCACTGAAACACCCGGGCACAGCCACCTGCTCCTGCTGTAGTGTGACAGTCACCCCAGGGGCTCTCAATCCCTGGGCACATATGTCCCTCAGCCATCTTCCTACTGGGACAGCCCCTCACCCAGAACCAACCCCAAGTCCCCACGGGCCAGACCTGGCCTCGCCTCTCCAGAATGCTGTATCAAGCCTCCCCATGTGAGCATGGGTCTCTCCCACCCCACGGCCACCTGGAGCTCAGAGCCAAGCATCCAGAGCCACCTGGTTTGGCCCACAGAGGTCATCCCCCAGGCCTAGTGAGGTGTCTCGCCTGCCCGTGGTGGCCAGGGCTGGGCAGAGGGAAGCAGGCCCTGAGTGCCCAGCCCCTGGTCTCACCTGTGTCCTCAGCCACATCCTCCCCGTCTTCATCGTCTCCAGAGGATGGAGCATCTGCAGTACAGGAGGAGTGTGAGTGGGCCCAGCCGCAGCTGCCCCCAGCCAGGTGCCCTACCGGGGCAGGGCTGCTGCAGCCACACTGCCGGGGCTGGCCCTGGCCTCTCACTGCCCTGCCAGCCACGCCCCCTGGCCCCGGCCTGCACACCCACAGGGTTTACCTGTCACACGCACACTGAAGTGGCACAGCACGCGCTGTGTGAGCCGCTGCTGGCAACTGTAGGCCCCAGTGTCTTCACGAGAGGCGTTTAGCACCTGCAGCTGCTGGGGCCCCACCAGGACACGGCCCGAGGACTCCAGTCCCGAGCCATCCTTGACCCAGATGGTGGGACCCACAGGACCACCTCCGGGTGGGTCACAGCTCAGCTCCATGGTGTCCCCACTCCCAAAGACCAGCAGCTCCTGCTGGCCAGGCTCAGGCCCTGGGACCTCTGTGGGTGAAAAGGCAGCACTGAGGGAAGCCTGGGATCAGACATCCTGCGCCCAGCACCTGCGCAGCAACCCAGCACAGCTACAGAGGTCCTGAGTGGGAGGGTCTGTCTCCAGAGCCCACGTCCTGCCAGATAACACTCCAATCAGGGGCCAGAACCTCCCCTAATCGGCCCAGGGGAATCAACTCTCTCAGTTCTGCCAACCAGTCTCTGTTCCCAGGACTCGACTCTGCGCTGGGGTACAAAGCTGCCTTCAAAAGACAATCCCTAAGTGGCTAGGCATGGCTGTGCTCCAATAGAATTTCTGAAAATTCTAATTTCAAAGTATTCCAAAGGGGGCTGGTGTGACTCAGTGACAGAGCGCTTGCCTAGTGTGCATTCACCTTGGGTCTGATCCCAATGCCGGGGGAGAAGAAAGTGCCACTAAGTGTTATTCTTTTGATTTTTCTACCATTTGGAAATGCAAAATCCTTTCTGGGCCCACCATCACAAAAGCAGGGAGGACAAGCAACACTACATCAACCTCTGGCTAAAATAAAGCTCAGAGGAGGGGATGCAGCAATTCCCAAGGAGGCCCTCTCCTCACCCACAGCCCTCACCGCAGCTTCAAGAGCAGTTCAGAGGAGCTGGAGAAGACCCTGCCAAACCCAAAAAACCAAAGGCCAAAGGTTTTCTCTGATAAGCAAGTGCTAATCCATAATGAGGAGCTGGGGATTGAAGGACTTTGGGTTTTGCAAGGAGGGGGTAGAGATGGGAAGGACTGCCGCAGTCTGGCTGGGCACAAATCATGAGCCACTCAAGCCGGAACAAACTTTATTTCCAAACTCCTCCGAACTCCCTTCCAGGGACACCACACACCAACCGGGAACTCCCTCCACCGAACTCCCTCCACCGAACTCCCTCCACCGAACTCCCTCCACCGAACTCCCTCCACCGAACTCCCTCCACCGGGCCTTCACCAACCAACAGGAACTCCCCAGGAATTCCTGGGAACTCCAAAGAGGCGGACAGCAGGGGTCTGTATACAATTGAATACACAGCTTAACTTAACTATCATCATCTCAATGGCTGGCTGTCACCTCTCAATCACTCCCTCTGGCAAAATGCCAGGTGCCACCCCAACTCCACTCAGCTGTGGCCCTCAACAAAGGACAGTGGAATGAGATGGACATTATTACCCTATATACATGTATGATCATACTACTGGTGTGACTCTGCACCAAGTTCAACCAGAGGAAGGAGACATTGTGCTCCATTTGGGTACAATGTCAAAATGTATCCGACTGTCATGAATAACTAATTAGAACAAATTTTAAAGTTTAAAACAATCAAAATAAAGCAGTGTACATGGAGAGCCAGGGACCAGCCCCTGCCCCGGCAATAAGAAGGAAGGAAATGCAGGTCAGTAGGTCCGATGGGTCCTATTCCACGCCAGGCGCAAGGCAGTGGCTGCAGCCAGCAAGGCAAGCCCCACCCCAGGTGGCCAGGCAAGGGAGCTGCAGTGGGACTGGCTAGTGGCGACCCCTCCACTCCACAGAGCTCCACACAGCCTCGGGTACAAGGGCAGCCCTCAAGGTACAAGGGAGCCTGGGTAAGCCCAGGAGAGTGGCTGATGTTGGGCTCTTGCCTGCATGGGGGCCTGGACCCCGCCACAGACAGGGAGGGGAAGCAGTCTAGCCATCAGGTGAGTGCTCAGAGCTGAAGTCTAGGGCAGGTGAGGAGCCCAGGCCCTGCCCTGAGGGCTGACAGCCTGGGGTGGGAGCGCAGCACCAGGCAGGTATGCAAAGGTGGCTTCTGGCCTCCTGGCCCAGGGACTGCCTAGCTGCTGATGGGCCCCCAGGCCTGAGACCAGGGACACACCATCAGCAGGGCTGACCATCACCCCCAGGCCTCCCTGCCAGGGCATACAACGCCTGCATGGGGGTAGCTGGGCTTGGGGCCCAGGATGGGCGGGTGGTCCTGCTAGGCAGACCTTTCCTAGCCAGCTGGACGCTGCACCATTACTTGTCATTCTGCCGACGCGTGGCCTAGATTCAAGGCCCAGCTGCCCACTCTGGCCACACCAGTCCCTGGTTCCCTGGAAAGGTATGACTCTGCCTGTCCCACACACCCAGGGCCATGGGATCCAGCCAAAAGGACCCGCTCAGCCCCTGAAATACCTATGGGAGCCTGCATCCCACAGGGAACCATAATTTAAGGCTAGCCCTGGTGGGCCCGCAGTCAGGTGGGCTCTTGGCCTGACCTCCAGCCCTCCATCCCTGCTGGTATGTCCTGTGGGGACCACCCAGTGCTGGAGCTGCTGAGGCCCCCCAGAAGGCCAAGGACAGGCTGGTAGTAGCCTCAGCTTCAGGCCTTGGCCAAAGGCAATAGTCAGTTGGTTCCGGTTTGGTCTGGGCAAGGACAGCAGGTCAAGCCATCCCCACAAGTATTTGCTTCAACCTGGTCCAGTGAGAGGAACTGGGAGGAGACCCGGAAGAGCCCCAGGTTGGTCATGCAGATGGCTGCTGGTGTAGGATGGGAAGGGAAGGGGCCCTGCACTCAGCCATCGCTGACCCTTGACCTGCCCATCCACCCTGCTGCGGGGTGCCAGGAGAGGCCAGAGACAACTGAGCGACCTCAGGCAATAGAGTCTCCACCTCCTTTGATCACATTCCAGGGCCCATAGGGCCTGGGGCTGACCTGCAGGGACTGGGTTAGGAGAGTCTGGTAGGGAGATGCCAAGGGAAAGACAATGTGACTGGCCTGAGTGGACACTATCTCCCCCTGGGGAGGCAGCAGCAGAGCCCCCAAATGCCCAGCCTGGCCCCCATGCTCACCAGGAGGCAGGAAGGTTTTCCTCATCAACAAGGAACCACCTGCCCACTCTAGCCCCTGGTGCTCCTGCTATGCCTGTGGGGATGATGTCTGCCGCGTAGGCCTCACAGCACCTAGTGTCCCCATGTCCCACGGAGCTGAACCCAGCCAGAGCACCTCAGACCAAAGAGAGCTCACAGTCAGAGCTGGAGGAGCATGTGTTCTGGGGGCAGGGTTTGCTGGGCCTGGGGTCTCCCCGTCTCTGAGCCTCAGTTCCCACCACTGTAACCCAATTCAAAAATACTACCCTGTAGGCCTGGGGACCCAGGAAGGCCACCTCACCTGCTTACATGCTGGAGCTGGTGAAGAGGGGTGGGGGTGAGGGGCATTTCTGCCTGGGTGTCTTGCCCCAGGCTACAGCCAAGCCAGCCTGCTGAGGAGGGTCATGGCTCCTGCCCAAGAAACCATTCTCCTAGTGCTGAGTCGCCACAGCTGAGGCCCAATGCACCCTGCAGAACTAGCATCAAATTCACACTTGATTCTAAAGCCAGCCACCCCAAGCTCAGGGGGTGCTAAGCATTCTGGCTTGGCCCAGGACACTGTCTGAAGCCCAGGTATGGGAGACAGTGCCAGGTATGAGGTTAAGGTAGCCTAAAAGAAGGGCAGTGCCCCAAGGGACCCTGAAGGCAAAGCAAAGGTCTGGCTTTCCACTTCCCCTCCCATCCCACCCGGAGACATTCCGCAAAGTTTCGTAACAAAGTCAGGGGGGAAAAAAAGGGATCCGGAGACCGGGTGGGCTAATGAGGGCTTATGGGGATTATCCAGGCTAATCCTCAAAACAATCCTGCCATTATCGGTCCTCGGTCCTCAGTCCTCTTGGACAGGTGAGAAGCCTGAGGTTCCAGGAGGGTACCCCGAACCTGGCCCCACAGCTGGCAGCCTGAAGGTCTAGGCATACACCCCCTCAAACAAAAGGGGGCTGGCTCACAGCTTCTCCTAAATGACTAAGGCCTGACGGACCCCTGCTCTTCCCTGAGCCCAAGCAGGTCCCCTAACCCTTGGGCAGATCCTAGGCCACCTTGCCCAAAGACCTCAAACCCTTTGGTTCCCTTCTCGACTCAACTATAAAAGAAGCACCCACAATCGGTTCCAGTCCTAAGTGAGACCTGAAGACAAGGAGGGGGTGTGGGTGACAAGGGGGTTCCTAGTCACAATACAAGGGCTGGAAGGGCAGAGGATTAGCCAGGGTTAATGAACCACCCAGAGGCCTACAGGGCTCAAAGTCCAGCCGGGCCCAGGAGCAGTGGGGGAGGCTGGAGCCAGGACCTAGTTTCTGGGGAAAGACCTGCACTCCCTCGAGGTGGCTCCTAGCTGGGGTAGGGTTAACCTCCCGACCTCCTACGGGCCTCCCCAAAGAACGTGGTCCAGCTAGGATGGAGGTTGCCCTTGCTGGGCCTGAGGTGGCCAGAGCAGTCCAGTGGCTAAACCTCTCCTCACTGCCCTTGACCCCACCCGGCTCCACCTCCATAATTTATGTTCCCGGAGAAAGCACCAGCAGGGACCTCTGTAAATTTCACGAGGTCTTTGTATTTTTACTGCTGGCCCATCTCGTTAAGGAACCGGATTAAGTTTATTGACCTATCAACTCCCTACCTGTTCCACCAGCTCTAGTGAGGGGGCGGGGGTACCGCCGGGCGCGGGCGCCAGGAGCCTGTGCGCACCCTGCCGGCGCTCAAGGAGCCGTGCGGGGAGGCCACCGTGCGTCCGAGCCGCGGGGTCCAGCAGCGGGCCGGGCGCCCCTCGCCGCTCCTCTCTCGGCTCGCTGACATTCCCGGGCGTAGGGAGTAATATCTTTATCTGAATGCGCATGCTAATGCGGCCCCCCACCGCCGCCCATTCGGCGCCCTGGAAGCTGGGCTGTCGGAGCAGGCGCTAAAAGCGCGCGCTGACCTCCGGACGGCCTCTGTCACGCTGCTGAATGACACGCACATTCAAGCGCCGGGCCCACTTTCATTCATAAAAAAATGACATTGTTCCGGGAGGCTGCAGCCGCCGCCGGAGAAAGGGGCGCGGGGGCGCGGGGAGGGGCGCACCACCATCTGCCTCGTCCCGCCGCGCCCGCCGCGCAGCTCGCACCTCCCCGCGAGGCCGCCGCCATCAATGCGCGGTCTGTGGCCGCCCGGGTACAAAGGAGCGGCTGTTCGGGCCTCGGCCCGGGTGGGGCAAGGCTCACGGGGCGAAGGCCTCCCTCTGAGCGGTCGCCAGCCAGACCAACCCTCCACCCAGCAGTCCGCAGCACCGCCATGCTCCCCTGCGCGCGCCGCGCCTCAGGTTCGAAAGCGTGTGCTGGGCGGGCCTGGCACACCCTGTCCTCCAGTTGCTCTGCAGGCTCTCTTTGCTGACCCTCGACGTCCTGCTGGACCTTGACCGCCAGCCCGCGTCTGCGACCCCACAACCCTGACATCTGCGCCCTCACCACCCACAGCCCTCCCTGCCTGGTGTTGGGTGAGCACCCAGGGGCAGACCCTTTGGACCCCCGGGCAAGAGAGCAGGGAGGGGGCGGTGGTGGCCCGGAGGCTGTCACCTCATCACGCGGGCTACTGAAGGGCAGAGGCCGAGCTCCGGCTTACGCACTCCTAGCCACCTCCAAAGTCCAACCTCTTGCGTTAGCTGACGCTGGCCAAGCACTGAGGCCCCCGGGAGGGGGGGGGCACCAACAATAGGAAGTTTCCACTGCGGAGCGCCCGAGGGGCAACAGTGGAAACTCGGTGGTACCTCCACCGCGCCCTCTCGACCGCACCTTGGCTGGGGAGTCGCGGGGGACGGGAGTCTGGCGCCTCGCACTTGGGTGGTGGCCCTGCGGCTCCAGTAACCCCATAAACCGCCGCGTCGGCTCTGGTTGCGATCTCGGGAGAAAGGGACACCAGAACCCGACACTAGTCCTGCAGTGACACTCCACCGGAACTTTCTCACCACTCAGGCCCTGTCCGGGTCCCCGACGCCTCTACCTGCCACCGCCCGGCCCATCTAGGTGCACGTTGCAGCTTCCTTACCTGCCGCTCTCGGCACGACGCGCTGCTCTGTGCCCGGGGGCTCCGAGACGACGCCCGCCACAACCGCCGCGGCCATGCACAGTGCGAGGGCGCAGGCCGGGGCGCCCATGGCGGGGGCGGAGGCCGCAGCGTCCTCAGGAGGCGCGCGCGGACATGCTGTCCCCCACGGCCCGGCTCGGGCTCCCGCAGGAGGTGGGCGCCGCTCCGGAGTCTGCGGGAGGAAAACAGCTCGTTACCCGGGCCGGGGCCAGCGCCCCGACCCCGCCGCCCCTCGGCYGCCCCTCCCGCCGCCGCCGCCGCCGCCCAAGGCTCACGGGCCGCCTGGCGCCGGCCGCCTCCTCCCCGCCGCGGTCCCTCCCTCCTCCTCCTTCTCTCCCTGGCTGCCGCAGAGCCCTCCCAGGGCGGCGGCGGCGGCAAACTTTCCAGAGCGGGAAGCCGGCTCCCGGCCGGGCCCCGTCGTAGGGACCGCTCCAGATCCGAGCCCGCCGCTCGCCCGGGCCCTCCGAGCGCCCGCCGGGCCTCTCCAAGAGCCCGCCTGGTCCCCCGCTCCAACCTGGCGGCCACAGGAACCCAACTCACTGAGTGCGGCTCCCACTTCGGATTGTAGCCCGCGGGCAGCGCTCGCCGGGTCCCTTGGGCCGTCGACCCGCCCGTGCGCCCGTGCGCCCGTGCGCCCGTGCGCCGGAACGGTACCGAGCGGCGCCAGCTGCCCGCGCCGCCGCCGCCGCCACAGAGCACTGAACTGGGGCTGCCCGGCGCGCGGCAGCCAGTGGGGGACGGCCCGCGCCCGCCACGCCCCTGGACACGCCCCCAGACACGCCCGCGCGGCTCGCTGGGGCGCAGGGACACGCCCCTCCTCGGGGGCGGTCCGGGGGCGGGTCCGGGTGGGGACGCCGGGCGGTCCTGGAGGGCGTGGGAGCAGGGGCGGGGCCCGGAGGGCGATCCTGTCGCGGGGGCGCAGCGAGTCCCAGCAGAGGCCTGTGTTCGCACAGCGCAGCCCCGGCGCGCTGGGACTGTGCTCACCCGCTCACAGGGGAGGTCTCAGTGGGGAACGGGGAGTGCGGGCAGCTTCACTGAGAAGTGGCCGCTGAACTGAACCCCGCCGAGTGAGCAGGAATTCCTCAGGTGAAGGAAGCAGGACCGCATTCCAGGCAGAGGCAAATGTATGTGCCGAGGCCTGGCGGTGAGGACGAAGATGCAGGGAACATGCTCTGCATCCCAGACGCAAGTCCCTATGGCACAAGCGCAGCTCAGCTGAGCTCCTTGCTGCGGGGTCACAACCTCCCTTCCAGGGAGAAAACAGGTTTGGAGGCTGTGTGTCTGTCAGGCCTCCAAATAGAAAGCTGAGGCTGGGAACCACCAGGTGTGGGGAGCCCACCCTAGGGCTCTGAGAAAGGACCATGTGGGGAGCTGGTGGCAGAGTCCGAACTGGCCAAAAGTGTGGGACATGCTCCAGCTGGTGAAGGTCCAAGCTGCTGATATCAGTGCCTAGGAGCACCAGCCTGGCCTCCCCATCAGGCCAGGAAGCGGTTGGTACTGCTCTGCAGATGCTCTGGGTCCTCTTGCCCCATATGCCTAGCTTCTGTGACCACCCTCACAAGCATCTCTCCCATGTTCAGGCAGGGCCTCAGAGGACAGAGCTAATGGGAACCGCCAGGGCAGAGGTGGGCTCCCCCACCAGGCTTTGGGGTCTGTTTGCTCATTACGAACATGGGCACGGCAGTTCCTCATCCCCAGTTGCTCATCCCTGCCCAGCATGCAGTGCTCACCCTGAGCTCCAGGCACAGCCTGGGCTGACCTCAGGGAGCCCTGTGCCCTATACTCACCTCACAGTTGGGCACCTCGGCCTGTGCCACCCTTGTCACTTGGTCTGGCCTAGCATATATCCCTCCAGACTGGCTGAACCCCAAAGGACTGTCCAGCCTCACTCCAGTGCACTCCCTGGGCAGCTGCCACCCAGGTCCCCTCCCAGGACGCCATCCCCAGGCGGCAGCAGATGTCCTGCCCTAGTCCATTAACTGGGTCTCCTTGACCCCCTTCCTCTGGGTGTTGGGGTAGTGTTGACCCTCCTGGTTCCTTTGTGGGAAGAAGATGGCAGGAGAGATAGGGAGGTGCCTGCTACTGGAGGGGCACCTGAGGCTGGCCTCCCATGAGAGGCTCCTGCGGGTAGGAGGGCTCTGAGGAGCTCCAGGCCTGTCTCCCTGGATCAGTGGTGCCCTGTTCCCTGGGCACCTGAACCTGCTCAGCATGTACCATCCTGGCACAGTTTCATCTTGTTTCTAGGATTGTCTCCTGGGTATAATGCTCCAGCCCAGCCCCACTCCTCCCATGTATGCACCCTAACCTGGCCCCGCCGGCCCCTCTCCCAGCTCTTCTGGGCCCTCTCTGTGTCTCTGTGTCCTCCTCTGCCTTCTGTAAGGACACCTGTGGGTGTAGGGCCATCTCATCTCAAGCTCCTAGCCGGCTTGGCTTGTTAGGGCCCCTTTCCCCGTGAGCGCTCAGGCCCTGGGGCCCAGGCGTTTGAGCCTCTGTCCTGCCCACTGCACACCCAGGAGACCCACTTCTTTTGGCATCACCCCTTCAGTGGGGGCTCTCAGACACTGTGGACACTGTCTGGGAGCCATGGGGCAGAGAGCAGCCATGTTGCCTCCAGAGGGGTCTGTGCTGTCAGGAGCAAGGCACGCTCCAGGGCGGCCTCCCCAAAGGCCAGTCCAGCACTGTCAGAACAACTTTGATGTTCAGCGCCATCACTCTAAGTGGTCGGCTTCAGCAAAGAGCACAGGGGTTGGGGGTCACCTCCTGGACACTGGGATAAGGCAGGTGCCACCCTCGGGGTGGCACATCATTGCCTGGATGGTGTGCTGCTGCCCCCCTACCAGCCCTGACTCCCCCGCCCACCCCGGTCAGCACTACCCAACTGCGTCCTGCATCCCAGGGCGGCCCACCCTGGAGAGCTTCTGATTAAGGGGGCCTGTCAATGTTGCAGGAGTCTAGGGTGGCTGGCCCCATATCAGGGAGCCTCCAGATTGCCAGCTTCCCCGGTCCAGTGCCCCTTCCCAAGACCCACTCCTGCAGGATCCACAGTGAAGAGCAGCCGGGTGGGAGGTGGAGGCCAGGCCCAGGCAGAGGTTGATGGCCCAGCCAAGCCCAGCCCGGGTGCCGACTCAGAGCTGGGTGCCCTGGCTTGCTGGGGCCTGTGTTGGTGAGCGGTCAAGAGGGCTGCCCCAGAGGAGCACCAGGTGAAGTGCCCAGGCTGCAGGACACCAGCAGGCCACAGGGGCCAACTTCGCATCTGCCTTCCTGGGCTGCCCCTGCCAGACCTAGGCCGATGGGGTGTCACGGGGTGCCACTGGCAGAGGGGACGCTCTGTAGAGGACCTGGATCTGCAAACTGCCCACTGCCCACAGGGCCAGCCTGGACTCCAGGACAGGGGACTTTCAGGGAGCACCCTGCCCAGCCAGCCCTCTGTGGGTGCCTAGCCCGGAGCTGGTGGGAGCTTCTTCCACCCTGCCATGAGACTCCTCCCCAGGAGGGGTCTAGGCACAAGGGTAGGCATCATGGGAGGAGGAATAGGGCCCCTCAGTAGTCCCGTAAGCTGGGCAGGGCTGACCCCTTCCCCAAAGAGGAGAGAACACGCTTGAGTGGGGTGTTATGGGCAGATGAGATCATGGGTGATTTCTGCCTTTTTAATTTATTCCTAGAGAATGAGGGTAAAGATAAAAAAGCACATTTGATTTGCTTGTTATAACAGAAATGGAATTTTAAAGAACATGGAAAAAGAGAGAGAAAACATTCCAAAATCCCTCAGCCAACACTAGCTACTATGCAAGATTTTTAAATTTTAGCTCTGAGCTTCCTGGCAGGCTGAGCAAAAAGGGCAACAACATGAACTATGTGCTGTTGGGTGCTGGGACTTACCGTAATGGTCTCAGTCCAGACTTTCTGGTCTTTTTGCCCCTTCATTCACTCACATCTCTAGACCTCAAGTCCTGACTTTTGATTTGGAAAATGTGGTTGCTCTCAGATGAGCAAAGATGGGAGACCAGAGCTGTCTGCAGGCAGAGGAGAGAGGTGTGGTAGGAGGTGAGAGCTCAGACTGTCCTGGTGTTCACCCATCTGAAGCGGGGGGCTCCCACTCCCCATCCAAAGCCTGGCATAGTCAGGCTGCTTAGCCAAGGTAGAAGGGCAGGAGGCAGCCACAGGGGAGGCCAGGGGAGGGCAGCGGAGTCCAGCAGGGAGGGGCTCAGGCCCCGACAGACAGCTGGAGGGCCARGCCAGTAGCCGCTGAGCAGCTCAGAAATCTATTTTCCTAAGCACTTGGCATTTGCCTGAAACCTCAAGTGTATTTTCCCTAAGTTTTATTTTTTCTTTGACCCCAAACTCTGGTAAATCCAAGGGAAATTCAATTATGGTGTTTTGGGTCCATTTACACTTAAACCCGCTCAGCATTTTTCCAGGGCCCTTCTGGAGTTCAGCACGCCTTGGGAGCCTGCTAAATGAACGTTTTTATTATTATTATTTTTTGAAAAGGCCTCCCTCCCCTCCCCACCCCCTTCCTGCCAAAAATAAACAAGCCCAACTCCAGGCTCCAGCTGAGTCAGGCGTCCAGGCCACCCGACCAACGCCTCCGCAGCCCCACCGTCTCCACAGCAGAATGCCCACTCCTCCTGGTCCTGCCGGCTCTTCTGGGCACCCCCGGCAGCCCGGCCAGTGCCCTGTTCAGCGCCTCACCCCACACCCTTGACCCTGCTATCCCTGCACCCAGCCACCACACACAAGTCCCAGCACAGTGTCCAACCAGAGCCCGAGAGTCCAGTTTGGCCAGCTGAGCCTGGGGACAGTGGAGGGCTCAATCTCAGCCACTGTGGCCCTCCCCAGGATGATGTGGGTTGGGCAACCCCTGTCCTGCATGGCAGGGAGGACGGTGAGGTCAGCACAGACAGAGGCCCTTTCATCAGCCCTGTTTATAAAAGTGGGGAAACTGAGGCACAGATCACCCTGTGGCCTGGCCTGCTGAGGGGCCCAGTGGCCACAGGACTGCCTTGCTCTTTGGAGGTTTCAGCTGGGCTTGGAGAGGGTGGAGTGTTCTCTGCAGCATTCAGGGAGCCGGGGACATTCGGGGCCCCCAGCCCCAGGCCCCACACCTGGCTGCCCATGGAGGTCCTCCACCAGGACCAGCGTCCGCAGGCTGGCACACAGGGCCACCCAGAGCTGATTGGAGAAGGCACCATTTGCAGAGAACTCTCTGAGGCTGGGCAATGGCCACTCCAGGGGCCCCTTCTGCAGAGGCCCCCAAGTCTGGGCCCCAAGAGCCACACCCCTGCCCCCAACTCTGCTGCTGTGGCCAGCAGAGCCCAGCAAGTTGCGCAACCTGCCCAGCAGTCAGCCAGGTCCCTGCAGCCCCGTCCCGCCCCCGCTGACCCTGTGTCTCAGGGCTGCAGCAGCAGTATGGGCCTGGGCCTGGGGTTCACGGCCAGACCCCCACCACCTGCCAGTGCCGGGGCTCAGGGCCTGTCTGGGTACGGGGGGGCCTTGTTGGAAGCTGCTGGAAGAGGACTCACACAGTGCTCAGAGGGGACACCAAGGAGTGGGCCCTGGCTCCCTGAAAAGGATCTTTGGAGATTTCAGTCAGGAGGAATTTGTGAGGTACG